AAATTATCACACAATGTCACACTTCGCCGACGCTCCTCCGACCCTCTCTATCTATGTTGACTACCGATGCTATCTAACTTGTCGATGTCGTGTCATTTAAACGAACATGCCTGTTAATAATAAAAGGTTTAAAGTTGGGTGCCTGTTGTCAATAGTAAAAAGCACCCCACGCTTTTTTTCAAATTTATTAAAATTTATTTTCTATTTATTAGTTTGGTTTTCTAAAAAAAGCGTGTTTTTTAGTTTTTTAAAACATTTTTTTTTATTAGTGTATTGTCATCGGTCCTCGATATATCTACAAAGTTTGAACGAATTCTAACCGTTTAAAGTCAGTTACAAACAAACATACAAGTGAAGCTAATATAAAGCGTGTAAAAAGTGGTTACAGTTATTTATGATAAAAAAAAAGATTGTGGTCAATCTATAAGATTTGGACAGGCCCTTTTATAGTATTAATATTGTAACCGTTGCACCGCTACTTGTAATGAAATTTAGTCAAATACATAAAAGCATTGTGTAAAACTATAAAATTATAGTAGGTAAATAGCATCTACAACGCTTTTGTGACTGCTGAGTTGCAGGCGTTCATTGTGTTTAGTCACTTTCTATTAGGTGAGCCGTCTGCTCGTCTGCCCCCTCTTCGATAAAAAATCTCCATCTACGGTACATCCGGGTAGTACGATACGAATCATCCAGTCCATCCATCATCCAGTGTGATAAGTTCCTAAAAGTTAGTGGGCTAAAGGCAAAGAAAAAACCCCTAAAAGTGCCATGACTATACCTACAAAATTTTCAATATTTCAAAATTTGTTTTATTTGTATTAAGTATAATAAAATAACCTTCCTTCTTCCTACCTAGATATGGTGAACCTGTAAAGAATTTTATCTAAGTATCATCATCATCACAGCCAAAAGACGTCCCCTGCTGGATAGAAACCTCCCCCTAGGTTTGCCACGCCTATAACGACTGATCCAGTCTTGTGCTGCCCGCATGCCGTTCACCAGGTCGTCGGACCACCTTGTAGGGGGTCTTTTTTTTACCCACGCTGTGACCACGTCTCTGTACTATAAGTCATCACTGGCAACACACACTGATCAAAGACTCAGAGATCATTAAAATCACAAAAAACATTCAACAAATTATCAAAAAGTAATCAGGCTATTCATCAGATTTAATGAGACATTAAGTTTTTTATTAATTAATAATGTTTTTTATTATATAATTTATTAATTTTTATAATCCATGGAAACTACGGTAAAAAGCTTTGTGATTCCAAATTTCCAATAGTTACTTTTGATTGTTACCCATTCTTAGTAAGAGACTTTTGTAATAGATGTCGCTAGTCTAACAGAAACCCATAAATAAATATTATAACTATTATCCGAAAGGCTTATACTTACTTACTTTTAAACTAGAGAATATCTCTAAAGGCATCGAGAAGAATTTATCCCTGTCAAAATTCCATCACATATAGAATACTCTTAAAAAGTGAAAATCACAGACATTTTGTTTTTTGTACATGTACTGTATTAAGTAGTATTAATGTAGCTTTTGAAATGTAATTACACTTTAACTTTTTATGTAAGTACATACTAGCTATCTTCAGATTACTATAAAAATAATGTGATAGGTATTTACATACTCATTACATTACCATTATCTCTATTTTTAATCTGTATTTTGCAACAATCCGTAAAAGTTTTTGAAAGTTAGTACAGATATTTTAATTTAATTTTGCTATCATTGATTGAAACTTTTAATTTTTACTGGCCTACAGTCTTAATATTAATAAGTAAGAAAAAAGTAATTTTAATAAAATGCTTCAGTCAAGTATAGTAACAATTTATAACCTGTATTTCAAATCGAGTACAGCGCCATCTACCTAAATTTTAAAATAATAAATGGAGATGTTAATAAAACAGTTTTTCCTTCTGTAGTCATTTAATAGATTTTTTTATTAAATCTCATTTAAATAGATTTAAATTTTATTAAAAAATTACAAATTTATATTTTCATACACAATACTAATATGATTTATTTTACTTTAACATAATTATTATTCTGAAGCTGTAACTTCATAATTACCGCCAATTTACAGCGGTGTTTCGGCCATTTTGTGAACCCCGCAATAGGAAGTGAGTGTTATAGGTGCTACGCAGGCGCAAATTGACCTTTCGGTTGAAGAACCCGTCGGTCACATGTGAGTGTCGATAAATATCTTAATTTTATTGTGAATCCTTTATATATAGTTATCATTATTGTTTTCGTAAGTATTTTCTATGGTGAATATAAATTTGTGCATACAAGGCGTTACCGCGGTGTGGTTTTTGTGTAAATTATAAAAATGTAATGTGCGGCGGCGCCGGCACGTTTGTCAAATCGCTATTTTTTTTTCGTTATCTCCGGATTTGGAATAAAGATCAAGTTCACATTCTGCCAAGTTTCCTACGTGATTATAGTTGGTGTATTTGTGATAAAAACGGTTTGTGGTTTTGTATTATCTTGTGTTGGTCTCGTAGAAGACATGGTCAAGATGTCTCTCGTGTACCACATGTTCGGACACCACACCATCCACTCTGTGTCTGCATCACCTTTTGACTGACCAGATTTAATTCAAAAGTCGTTGAAAAAGCTCTACATCCCTATATTTTGGATAACATTTATTTGTCTCCATAAGGACGATGTCAAGTCTTCTCTTCTACAAAGGTTTTCTTCGCATCTCGATACGTGTAGGTGGGGTTAGATTATGATCGTTTTTAAGACTTTCTTTTATCTTATTTTCGAGTAAACAAGTTTCTTTTTAATTTTTAATTAGTTCAAAGTATTTATAATTGTGACTTGAGAAATTTTGCAGCAATGGCATTATTACTGTAAGTCATTTAAAATAAACACGAGTCATTATTGATGTAAATATTGTTTATTTCGTAAACTGTTTGTGCTACACTTTCTTTGTTCTAAGACCTCAGTATTGCAAATTTTCTAGTGAAATATTATTACAATTACTATGTACCAACAAAACTATCAACATGACTAGGCAGAAAACATGCAAAATAACCTGACCACATCTGTTTTGAACCGGCTTCAAAAATAAGGTTCTGTTTCACTGTGTGTATTTTTGACACACTTTATCACCATTGATCTATTGCTTACAATAAAATCGTCTCACTAATGCTATGAGCTTATCTCTCTAGTCTGTTGTATTTCCATCTTGCCCCATTTCCTAATTTATTTGGGGTCAGCGCAATATGTTTTCTCTGCCATTCTTCCCTATCATCCACCAGTTCATTGCCTACTCTCTTTCTAATCATATCTTCTTTCATGCAGCCCATCTATCTTTTGTTTGGTCTTCTACTACTCATGTTTCTTACAAATTCAGTTAATGTGCCGTGGTATCCTGTGCTTTCAATTTTCCTTTACAAGTTTCTTATTATGCAAACCACCTATGACTCATAATAACTTGAAAATGATTTAAAGATAAGATTTGAACTAATTTCCTCTTAACACATTTTCGCCTGTTATTCAACAAAGTTGCTCCTAGAAACCTGAGAACGCCCCAGGGAGCTTCTATGCTTCTGGTTGATCTTGGTTGGCTGACCTAGTCAACCTTAACTTTACATATAAAGAACCGTTCTTGAGTCTACATTTAGAAACTGGAGCCTAAATCTAATACCAATACTTGTTATTTATTAATTGGGCATTTTAGTGATTGAAAAATAAAACAAAAATTAATCAGACGAAGGTTCATTAGTCAGGTTTTAGATCATTTATTTCTCTCAAAGAATAACATTGACTATTTACTTATATGAGAAAAGAAAATAAAAATTATTAGGGACAAGTTCTTTTACATAGATTACTTACTTTCATTTAACAGTACTTAAATTGCAAATAATAGATACAAGAGATTAGAATCCTGAGCCCATAGAGTCGCGAACTTGGTCCCATGCCATGTTCGTGCTGAGGGTACTCAGATATAATACACCAGTCCCGACAATGCGTCTAATACCATCACTGTGGCTTTAGATCACCGTCCAGGGGTACATGTATTTTTTAATACCTATAAATTTTAAATGATATAATAATAACTACTTAATATTTTGCATTATTCCTTCATTAGATTTTAAATATATATCTCGTTACAATCTTCTCGCTACTTCTGAAAACCATCAAAATATTCTTATTTTTTTTAGGTTGGCAACATTAATTTATTACTACCTTTTTTTTTTTATGGGTAGTCTAATTGTGTTAGGACTTCCTTGTACTAAGATTGAGCATGTGCTACATGCATGTGTCAGCTACTATTTGACTTTTCTAGGGGCAAAACAATTCAAACTAAGAATATGACGAATATAACTATTGTGATGTCCTGGTTGATAGGTTCCAGAGTTCACTACTGTTACTGCTTATATTGATAGCTTTTGGTGTCTATCTTTGTCAGCTACATACCTACTAGAGGTTTTTGGCCAATTTGACCCAGTCAGCTGTTATCAATATAAAATTCATAATTCTACCAACAGCCTAGTAAAAATATTATTTAAAGACACAGGGGCAAAGGGCCTGTAAAATATTTAATTCTTACTTTTCACAGGAGTTCATTGACATGTAACACAATGACTTGGCACTAATTTTTTTGTCACCTTCAGTGTGAATCATGTCAATAGTTAATGCCAAGGTTCGGTTCATTAGCATTGCTCTTTATTGTATATTTTTGAATATTCCAATTCATTGAACTGTTGGTTCAGCTTTTAATAAGTAGGTTAAGAGAAAACTTAAGTGGTACAGTTAAAGTATAACAAGGGTACTTTTTAAGACAATTGATATCACGAAATATGTGAACTAGAATTTTCTATCACTTTCTTCCGTGTTTCTTTGTTGTTAATGGTCTTGTATGTATGCATCATAATATACAGATTAAAAATTGCTAAAATGATAATATTTGATAACTAGATTTTTTTATTTATTAGATCACTCCTGACCGTATTTAAATTTCGGCACAAACACAATGGCTGATATCGAGGACACACACTTTGAGACCGGGGACTCCGGTGCCTCCGCCACCTTTCCTATGCAGTGCTCTGCTCTGCGCAAGAACGGATTCGTGATGCTCAAGGGTCGCCCGTGCAAAATCGTTGAAATGTCCACCTCTAAGACTGGCAAACACGGTCACGCCAAAGTTCACTTGGTCGGAATTGACATTTTTAACGGCAAGAAGTAAGTACATTACACGTTTTTTTTTCTATATTGCACTATGACATTAGCCTTTTCGCACTTTCTGTTAAAATCTTCTATTGTACATTTAACTCAAATTGGACATTACTATTAGGTATAATGAGTGGTATTCCATACATTTAAAATTTCCTGTTAAAACCACATCCTGAGCCCATAGAGTCGCGAACTCGGTCTGATACCGCGTTCGTGCTGAGGGTACTCAGATATAATACACCAGTCCCGACTATGCGTCTAATACCATCATTGTGGCTTTAGATCACCGTCCAGGGGCATATGAACATAGTAAAAATGTACAACAGTTTTTTATGAGACCACTGCTATAACTGCCTTAAAACCTGTTAACCCTTACTTTTACGAAACTGCAAAAAAAAAACACATTACCTAAAATTTTAAAGTGTAAGACGTGACAGTCGCAGTCTATCTATTCCAATTTTAGGAACGATAATATAATGTCCAGAAATCTTCTTTGACCAAAGAAAAAAAACTAAAGTAATTTCTATGATATGTAATACCCTGATAATAAAAACCTTAGTAATTATATTTTAATAATCTTCCAATAAATAGGAGAAGTAATAGAAAGTAAACAGGAAAAAATAACATAGTTTTAACGAAAAACAACTTCTACATCAATATTTTCTTAATTAGACTCCGTTTCGTAAATAAATCTTGAATAGGCAATCATAACAAATACATTTTGACGAGCATCCTGTAATCGTCTTGTACTACTGGCCACTTATTCTTATCGATTTTTCTTAAATAACATAGCAACATGTGAAACAACTGTTTGACCTTATATAGCGATATGTATATTAATGACATTTGACATCAGCGAAATATAAACTATTGTTAATCTATTTCTTTAAAAAGCGTCTGTATAACTGAAGCTGAAGTTAAAATTAAAAATTTAGCCAAACTAAACAACACATAAACTTGAATATCTTCGGTTTCTTCAATGCCATACTTCTACTTATTTTTGTTAACTTTTCTTGTAGAAAACAAGAACACTGCCTACTTCGTTATTAACAGAGCTTATAGAAACTCAACATGGTGGCGATTTCTCGTTGCCAATTTATTACTAAAAGAACAAGGAACAACAATTATATTATTACTATCTTTGGTCGCTTGTTTAGAGCTTAGGTAGTTCTCTAGCATGATAGTGTATAATAAATAGGAGACTTCTACTCTTCTTACCAATTTACAGGAAAATAGTTTAATAAAGCTGTTAAAGAAAAAGTTTAATGAACTCTACACGCTTTAGTACCCGATATATTTGCTTACGATAAATGTGTGTTTACCACTCAGATACGAGGATATTTGTCCTTCTACCCACAATATGGACGTGCCACACGTGAAGCGTGAGGACTACCAACTGACTGACATCTCTGACGACGGATACCTTACTTTGATGGCTGACAACGGTGACCTCCGTGAGGACCTCAAGATCCCAGACGGTGACCTCGGATCGCAGCTGCGCTCCGATTTCGATAGTGGCAAAGAGCTCCTTGTAAGTACACACTTTTTTTACCATTACTTTTCGCATAGTGTGTATGTGATGTAGTAAAATATGGAAACGCCTCGATAACCGCCATATTGTAAACTTGAAGATCGTACTGACTGATGTCCCTTTAAAAAAGAGTGTGCTTTAGACCACACGACTGAAGGAAAACTTTTTGGCTATGAGGGAAAGAGAAAAAAAAATGTATGTTCACACCTCTCTCTCTTGCCCCTACAATAATATACGAAACGTAACTCTCTCTCTTTCTATCTTCACTAACTATCTCCCTCACAACTTTCGTTCGCCTCGCCTGATCCCACTTTTCGTAACACTCTCGTCACGCATTCACCAGCTTACTCCCCAAGTCAAGCGTGCGTCAAGAAGTTTTACTTCTAAAATATGGCCAGATGTAAAGAAAAAAAAAAGTGATTCAAACCATTTGCCTTCTAATTTTTTAATAATTTTGTATATTTTTTTCTCTATAAACGTGTGAAATTACGTTTCATAATTGTTTACGTAGAGGAATAGAAAGAAATCGTCACTTATAATTCCTTAAAAATTCTAGCCACCTTTGAATATGTAATTTTATATGAATATGTAAAGGTTTTTTACTATTTTGTTCTCAGTCAACCTTGTTATTATATAATCTTGATTTCAAAGGTAGGTTTTCTTATTACATAGACTATTATTTGTCTACGGATGCTTCTCATTTTTAAAAGTGTGTAGTATGTAGTATTTTAAACATAAAACGCCTCAATAAAATATATCATTAGTCAGGCCTGTCGGAAAACAATATTATGTAGTAACTGCCTTTAAATATGCTTATGAGCTTATGTTATGGTTCATTTGATATGTTACTACTGCTTTAGACACTAATGGCACCTAATCACTACTACTATTACATTGTAATATACGTAATTATACGTTAGCAGTGGGGCAGTAAACCTTATATTTTATTAAATATTTTAAACAAAAGTATTTAATTTATATCTTCATCGAGTATAGAGTCTCTGGTGCATTACCATAGTGCATTGGTGCTAAATCAACTCGGAAATGATGTCTCTGCCTTTAACCTGGGCTAGTATTGTTACCAGCTATATGGACTAAGTGGGCTTCGAGTACATTCACATCACATCAACATCCTTTAATAGTCCACTGCTGGACATAGCCCTCTCCTTAGAAAGGAGGTTTTGGCGTACTATACCACGCTGGCCAGACGGGTTGTTTAGGGTTTGTGTCAAGTTTTCCTTCTTTTTGCAGTGCTGATGTCCTGGTTGTTTTGCGCCCTTAGTCGGCTCTTACGACACCCACGGGATGAATTGGGGTAGTGACATTCCGTATTCTTAATCCGTCACTACACGGATTAGTACATTGTAGTACATTGTAGTCTAGTAGTCGAGTACATTGTAGCATAAATACTGCTGAGATGGCTACTTGGTAGGATTGTAATCGGTATGGAAGTTTACAAGTAAAATCAGTTTTTATCATATCACTCGCACTAACTGCACACGTAAGTATACCACTTAAAAAAAATAACCATTGATTTAAATTACGATGGTCATTTTCACTTGATAAGTTATTTAAACTCGATATTTATATATAGAGATGGTAAATAAAGAGTAATAAATATAAAAGAAAAATAAATAGTTCAATAATTGCACAAAAAAGAATAAATTTGTTACTAATATTGATAATTTTCATTTTTATCTAAATACGTAAGGGCTCATTACAAATTGAACTTTGCCCAAAAGTCTCATAAAGTTTATATTCACTGTATGGATATTCATTATGTATGTTCTTCTAACAACAGATAATCAATTGCTTTTGATAAGACTTGGAGCGTGATCGTATCAATATTCTTACTGAAGAAATTTAGTTATCAAGTTTCAAGTGCTTTCGGAAATAGGTACTCAAATTATTTTACAAGTAGCATGTTTGTAACTTATCCACTTCCGACCACTTACAACAATTGAAATAAAATGATAAGCTTTACCCGTCGTTATGTTTACCTTTGCGGTCAGTCGCGAATGGTGAGACGTCTGTAGTCTAGTACAAAATAAGGCTAGAGGCCTTATTTTGTACTAGACTACCGACGTCGTATTAATCACAAAATTTTGTGTACATGTTTAATTTCTATCGAAACTTTGTACTATTAAAGTAGTTATAACAAGTCTAATGTGTGACATTTGTGTTGTTTCAGTGCACCGTGCTGAAATCGTGCGGCGAGGAGTGTGTGATCGCAGTCAAGGCAAACACAGCTCTCGACAAATAAACCAACTCAGCATTTATAGGGATATACATACATATAATTTTTTTACAATCAACAGCTCTTACATAAATGTAAAACATAATACTATGTATAATTTAACATAAAATATTATGGTGTGGCGTGGTGCTGGCGTGTCTGACTCCACACAACGCGCCGGGGGCATCAGACAATAACGGGTATTCGATCCCGCGCGGTTAATAGCATGCTCCTTCTGTTTCGAGGACAACATTCTAGAGGCACGTGCGGGTTTTCTGATTGTGCGTTGGCTCTAGTCGCTGTACTGAAAATTCGTAGCGTTTTATGACGTAGACCGCCACTGCTTGTGAATTTTCAGTGCAGCGATTTGTTGGCCGACCAGCCTTGTTACATTGATTACTATCGTTATTATGTTGTTATGCTGATTACTATCGTGTCGATAAGTAAAATGTATGTAATAGTCTGATACCGGATGGTAAAATGTAATGAATGGCTAGTTATGGTGTCCCCCCGAGCGCTAGTGTGGGGCGGGAGCCCGGCGCGCGACCGCCCGGAACTTCACGTTTGTTTTTGTTTGTTTGTTCTCTTTTCGCTTCCAACGTCTCTAACGTTAACAGTTACGTTGCGCTCCACGAGCCGCCGAACGTTTGTTGATCGACATCGGTGTGGTCAAATTCCCTGTGGTGGATATAATATTTTATGACTGTCGATGACCCGACAATGAGATGGACGCAAACTTGAAGTTATTACCATATTTTAATGCTAAATTAATTAATACATACAAAAAAAATCAAGAAAATGCGCAAAAAAATAGAAATAAAGAAAATTCTTGAATGTGGTGTGTGATTGATTAGTCCTCTACTCGGGCGCGTCACGTGGCCGTGTCGTAGCCCCGGTATCCCTTCATGTGTAACACTTGCCATCTGTTCAAATACCACTGACTGACTACAGACATTATTGTGAGTGCATTCCATGGTGTTTAGTGCTCTGCTCCTGTCGTTCTACCGTAACGTGCTAAATCGATGAAGACTGACTTGATAATGTCTCCAGATAGTTATTATCTTCGGGCGAGACTGACGATGCATTTTGTAGAAGAAATAGTTTTATTTTGTAAATTTGTGCTCATCTCGGCCTTTCCTTGCTCTCTTGTTTTGCTCATTTGAACACATGAGATGTTACACATTATCGAGTGGCTTACGATAGCCTGAATTCCATAATTTTAATATAGTGTTTGCAATGGCCACTCTGTAGCAAGTGTTGCCTTTAAGGGCCGTATAGGGTACACTTCGTTTGTGTGTTAGGTGGACTTATCAATATTATTTTAACATCAGATTGTCAAAGACGATATGATATACGAAAATTAATGTAAGGATGTAAGGTAAGGCCCTATAGGAGAGATATTTTTTTATGCATTCAAAATTCGTGCATCGCAGGTTGTAGACGTAAAGATTAGGCTGTTTGTGAGCAACAGTTCTCTGTACATTTTTTTTCGAAATTGCATAATCGTTGTTGTTGGTAAAGTTTTTATACTTAGCAGCTTGTAATCAGGTTTTTGTTTCATGAAAAAAACCTAAGGTATATATGTAAAGACATCGGGAGGTGTAAAATAAAATACTTTAGTAAAAAGGTAACTTTTCTTTCTGTAAAGTTAGCTGTTGTATCCCAATGCATCCTTAAATCGATGTATTCCTGATGGATGATATATCTGTATTATCCGGAGCTTAGGGTAGCGTTTGCGGACTAAATGTGAACTATTCATTACCAAATAGAAGTAATTACTTGATGCACCTATCAGTTATTTATTAGGAATTGATTCTCTTGCACACATGGCCTGTTCGCTTCGTTAGTACTCAGTAGTTTCTGTGAGACAAGCTGACACTGGAGTGAGGCATGTTCTAGCTTTGTCTGAGTCGCTGCCGGCTTTGTTGCCAATCCTGTGTATAGCTTCTAGTCTATATATTTGCGTTTTACAAATACGGTCGTTTGCTAGGTCGTTATCATAAGACCTTGTGAAGAAGAGATGCTTTAAAATTGTAATGATCCAAGTAATCTGCGGATTTTAATTTAGGAAACTTAAAATTATTTTTTATATTGGGACAGGAAGGTCAGATCGAACTAATGTGACGGTATTTAGTGCTAAAGCTCTGTATATACGTAAGATTGGATAGATCGGTGGATAAAGGTCTCTAGTTTAAAAGTGTTTGAATTTCTCATTCTTGATACAGTTCCATGTGTTTGTCATGTTATATGAACAAGCAGTACCGAATTAATAGCAACGGCCAATAATAAATGTAAAACAGTAATAAGTACCTATTTAACAGTCTGTCGAATTAAATCTGTACAAAATGAAATATCGTGAGTTTGTGATTCTGTAGCACCCTGTATGTAGCTCTTTAGTTCGTTTTAGTCTTATTTTATCCCTTTTTGTTTACTTTATGTATACTGCAGATTTATAATCTGCATTAGCCAAAAAAATGCTTTACGGATGACCAAGAAAAAGTATCGTCAATCATACAGAATCTTGATGACCGAGAGAGGCGTCATCTGTTACATCGACAGCAAAAGTAAGATAAAACTGAAAGGTTTCAACAAGGTGTGGCCAAGATGAGATTTACATACGTTTTTGATATGAACCTTTAATTTCCTTTAATTTTTATTAAATAAGATGCATAGTCTTCGGTGATATCGTGGGCTCTTTACAGCTAAATGCATACTCCTGGTAGTCTTGATGGCTTTCACCCATAGAGCAACACGGGCCTCTGGCGGACCGGAGGGGAGTAGCCATAGCACCTTTGCGAGGGGAATCACTCTCATGCAAAAACAATTGGCTGTCACTACGGAACACACACACATGCACCTTATGTGTAATAACTAGACTTGCAACGAATATTCGGTTACTATTCGGTATTCGGCCTATTCGGCTGCTTTTATTATATTCGGCCGAATACCGAATATCTGCATTATTATTCGGCCGAATACCGAATCCTTAAATAATATATTTTGTCATTGAGAAATAATTGGTAAAATGAAAAATTAAAATCGATTGATTACGTATATATTCATATTTTCATTTCTGTTATAATCATTTAAGTAGTCATTGGTGCATAACACAGGTACATAATCATCTTCTGAATTAGAAAAATGGAGGATTCTATGTATTTGAATTATTGTGGTAATCGAAAAAATTTAGAAGGGTAAGGTTCTCATTTCTTTTATAATCATTTATTAAGTAGTCATTGGTACATAAAACAGATACATATTTTAATTCACATCTGTACAAGTTTTTAGCGCTAAAATCCAGCCGAATACTTTTGCCTAATATTCGGTATATTGCGAATATACTATTCGTTGCAAGTCTAGTAATAACAGTACAATGAAGTGACGCACTACATTGACATGTTGCCAAACAACCGTGGCTGTAACAACTATTTGTAGTCGGTTAGGGACATCAGGTTCAAAAAGTGATACAAGGGTGGATATTAAAAATAGATAGAAATATTACTATAACGAATCATTGATATTACCAATAGTTTTATCTGTCACTGGTTTTTAAACATTCTTAGAGGTTCATTTACTCACAACTAGACTTGCAACGAATATTCGGTTACTATTCGGTATTCGGCCTATTCGGCTGCTTTTATTATATTCGGCCGAATACCGAATATCTACATATTATTCGGCCGAATACCGAATACTTAAATAATATATTTTGTCATTGAGAAATAATTGGTAAAATGAAAAATTAAAATCGATTGATTACGTATATATTCATATTTTCATTTCTGTTATAATCATTTAAGTAGTCATTGGTGCATAACACAGGTACATAATCATCTTCTGAATTAGAAAAATGGAGGATTCTATGTATTTGAATTATTGTGGTAATCAAAATTTAGAAGGGTAAGGTTCTTATTTCTTTTATAATCATTTATTAAGTAGTCATTGGTACATAAAACAGGTACATAATTTAATTCACGTCTGTACAAGTTTTTGGCGCTAAAATCCAGCCGAATACTTTTGCCTAATATTCGGCTATTCGGTCAGGGGCCTCGCCGAATATTCGGTATTCGGTATACTGCCGAATATACTATTCGTTGCAAGTCTACTCACAACTATTACTTTGGAAAAATTGGCCTGATTATGTTTATTTTTGTAAAATATATGACTAGTTTCTAAATCATTTCTGAGGGGCGCCACATGCTGAAACAAGTCCATGATGGTGGCCAAGCCAGTTTCAGTGTCACATTTTCCATTATGTCTGATTGCTAGTATAAAAAAAGCAGGCGTTTAATTTGCTGCATCTGATTCTGCTTTTGAACACATTGCTACGCTAATGTAGATTCAGACTCACGATTCAAATTCACGAAACCATACGATGCGTTGACGGTGCGGTACGGCACCGAAGCGGTGCTGCTACGTGATCCTAAATACAAATAACTATAGGTACCATGTCACACGACACAGTGGGCACCAGCGCGCCGGGAGGGGTAATGCACTAGGGCACCGGAGTGACGACGTGCCGCCACCATAAGTATACTTACCGGCACCGATCTTGAGCGCTCGGTCTGTACACGCGCATCTCTTTTCTCACCTTTTACTTACCTTAAATAAAAGGGAGCGCAGTAGTCTATCGACCAGCAAATAAGTGCACATTTTACTCTATCTAATATTTAATATTATTCGAGAGATAAACAACGGAAGCTAGTTTCAAACTAAGTATGTAAAGTACTATGAAAACTAGATTGACTGATAGACTACTTATATACTTTTTTTTTTAATACATACGTATTATACACAGAAATCACTCACACTCCTAAACAAATATTTGAAGATCATACTAACATTTGGTCCGACCCGGGGATCAAACCCGAGAGACATTACAGTAGTCGCATACGCCACCATTGCCCCGCTGAAGCAGTCGTATCTTATTGTAGATCTATGTATAGGTAATGAATACAGCTTCCTTTTAGTGGGTTCATATTATAGAATAACTTTATATATTTTATTTGTAGCGTCGTATCGGGTCGCAGTCGTGACTGGCGAAATGAAGAATGTAGCTGTCGGTGACGTGTCGTCGAGTAAGTATCAATCGGCATCGGTTTCGTTCGGGCAGGGTCGTCCAATGAATAAAAATTATTGTAATTTTAAGATATAATATATACCTATTGGTGCAGATCATCGCTTGGTGCCCTACTTTTTGAGTTATAAACGTGGCCAGCTGAGGAGAACACCAGCAGGACCTATAAACGGTCATAACTTTTGAACCAGTGACTGACAAATTCTGATATTTGGCGACAAATTTCGACTAATTAGCGACAAAAAAATTGCGTTATCAAAATTAAAATCCATAATGGTGGCCAAGCGTCAGTGACACTGAGAATAGTTAATCTTTTGCAGTAGGTTGATACTTACGATACGGTTTAAGTTCAAGTTAGATAGGGTTAACCATGGCTGAAAGTTCATACGTTGGCATTCGGTGGTACTAAATTTGGCAGTTAGGTACAGTAATAGTTTGCGGGTTTTTGACTATACCAACAGGCGGTGTCAGTTATCAGAATTCAAAAATACATAGGTATGACAAGTATCTGATTAGCACAGAAATTAACAACGCCATCATTTCGTCATAGTCGTAGAATAGTGTCGGATCTGACATTTATTGAACTTTACAGGGCAGCCATTTCAAATAATTATGTTAGGTATTAATTGAAATGGCTGCCCTAGCTATTGAAATTTGAAATTATGTTTTTAATTCTTAATCGGTAATTATGAAAATTGACATACAAGTGAAAAATAGGGTTTGTTTTAAAATACAATAAAAATAACAACTAATCGTTTTACAATTTTCTAGAAAAATCACATGCTTACTTTGAGCGCCTATCAAAGGCGCTCAAAGTAAAATGAAAACACTGAATGATTTATAATCTAAAATACTTTTATTTTTTTTCTTGAATGTTGTTAATATTTAGACACTGAGAAAACTGAATGTATGTAGAAAAACTGAATTTCTTATTTTTTCCAAACCGACATTATTCTACGTAGGTACATGACGATTTCTGTAATCGTAATGCGCTTAATAATTGAAGTTTGGGCACTAAGTTGGCAGTCTATTAGTAATAGTTATTTTGTCAGTATTTTTTTCAGAACGAAAAACCCGAGCTGCGCTAATGAAAAAGGTAAAACTGTCATGCCATGTTATTTTTTTTAATAATATAGAGAGCAAAGTAGACTGGTTGCCTGATGGTAAAGTGACTACGTAGTGAGTAGGTAACAGGTGCTGGCCTAGGTGGGAGTGAGCTCTTTTTATGAAGGTTTGGATGTCGTATTGGTGAGAAAATACCGCAGGCGACAATTTATTTTTCAAATTGGTGACGCGAAGCAGAAACAAAACATGGGGATTGATGTTTTGCCGCATTGGACGCAGGCGGAAGCTGCAGCCGGTGTAGACGAACCATTCTTCGAACATTTAACTTCACTTATTATTGAAACTTGTTGAACTACCTACATTATTTTTTCTGTTACTATTACGTTTAAATTATACAACAATTGAATACAAAACATTTATATTTCATAATTCATCGTCGGAACTATCCGAAGATATTTCCACCACTAAGAACGGATCTTCAATATCGAATATCGTTGAAATATAATTATCGCCTAGTGAATGTAGAAGACTATTTATATCTATTGGTTCTTGTTTAATAGTGACGTCCTCTGTCTTAACCCTAACATCTGGCTTCTCTGATGTGTCTGGATTCATTTCTATGGCTTTGAGATCGTCTCTTTTCTCTAGTTTAACGTCAGAACATAAGCCGTTTTGTTCTGAGTTATCATTTGACTGGTATGATACAACGTACATATTCGAGCTACCAATTTTCTGTATAGTATTTGACAATGAGTGACGTCTTTGTGTCTGAGTTACGGTGTTGGAAGACTTCTGTACTATCGTACTTGTAACATTTTGTGATGTAGTACTTGTCTGATTTGGTAAACAGTTTGTTGTAATTTCGCTTATAGTGTGTGTAGTGGTAGTATTTGATTTTATGGATTTAACAAGATTTTGTGCCGTGATATTTGTTGTATCACGTGTCGTGTTGTTTATCATATTTATTTTGGGTTGTGCTGAGGGAATACTGTCCGTTACAGTTATTGCAGTAAGTGCTTTTTTCAGTATTGTATCTATTGCATCTTGTACACGATTTATATTTACAACATTGTCTTGTACTTTTTCTGTTGAGCTTGGCAGCTCGTTTTTATGTTTTGTATTGCATATTTTACTTTCATGTATATTACTACTAGTTTCAATCGATCTTGTGGCAGTTTCTTGTGCTTTTTCATGGTCTGGCCTGACCTGACTTCTGAACTCGTGTGTTTCATTTTTCTTTGACAGTGTCAAATCTAGGTCACCATCACTCTCTGTGTCTGTATATTCAGCGTCCTTTAGTCTTGACATATTGCCTAAGCTCGGAGTGAGAGTTTGCGAACATTTAGGCATATATTCCATTTTTACATACCTGAAAAAAGCGTCCAAAATTTATTTAGTGTACTTTTTTCCAATGTTATCAGAAAAATATCTAAAGTTTAGCGGAGGCGGAGGACGGGCAAATTAAAAAAAAACTATATTACACACTGCTATTGTTTGTGCCACTTGCTATTGTTAGGAGATGCTCGAAAATGCGTGATGTATTTTTAATGCAGGCCTACATTTCTAAAATGACATGTTTACATATTTGTAAACTAAAAATTTTAACATACTGCATGGATCAGGCTAAATTAAGGTTGACTGGCAGAGAATGCTGATGGCATTAATAAGATCTGTACTGTAAGTGTAAAAAGCTGAAATAAATAAACGATATATTTCGAGGTCGGCTGCAGCAAATTTTTGTCTTTTACATTAATAACGATAATAATCTTGACTGATGTAAACAACCCTCAACATTTTCTACAATATTACAAGAGGTTCTTGTGACTTGAAGATTTTGTTCAAAGTCAATGAGAGAAATTGTGTGTAAAAAGTAATAACAAAAATTGTTTATTAAATCTTCACTCATTGTGATATCATTTTCCATAATTTTTGATAAAAAAAATGGAAAATGATGAAAAATACCGGTCGGGTAGGAGTCGAACTCATGCGCCGAGGGTTCCGTACCTACCCAGATTTTACGTAGATTTTCGCGAAAATTTGTAAGGACCAAAATTTATCTTAATTTTCAACTTTGTTTATTTTTTGGCATTATTTCTTTATTTGTGCTGTAAGAAGTTTCTTTTAGCCAAATTTCGTTATTGTAGGGCAACGGAAACTACCATATAGGTTTTCGACCCAAAAGTTATAGGGTACTTCCGGTTGACCTAGAATTTTTATTTCGGTTAAAAGCGAGGTCTTACAGCACAAATAGAAAAAATTAAGAAAATAAAAAAGTTGAAAATTAAGGAAAATTTTGGTACTTACAAGTTTTCGCGAAAATAGAAATCTGCCCATATCTTTTTATTGTGTTTAATCAGGACCTTGATTTTTATACACCTAATAGGGACCATATACCTCAGTATCTGGTATAAATTTCAACTTGCTATGTCTACCCGCTCCTGAAAAAATCGGTGGTGGTGAGAAAGTGATCTTATAAGGGTTCCTTTTTTATCTTTTGAGGGACGGAACCCTAAAAATAATGAATTTTCCGGCAGAAAATTTCAATAATTTTCGTAAGATTTTCGTCTGAATACACTATTTCAGTCTTCGCTACGATGTTCGTTAGAACCTTTTTATATTTTACAGGTATCCACCTAGTTCGAGAGATTGGATCTCAGAGTGTTGCAAACAATTATCTTAAATAACAAAGTATTATTTTTATATTTATGTACGGAGTTATGCTGTATATTTCGTAAACCCTTTCCATAAATAAAATAATCCTATTATAAACAAAGAAATCATGTATTTTATGCAATGGTTTGTTTAAAATATCCAACAATGATTGAATGGTTTCTATTCACTGTCTGCTGAGCGTCAATCTACTAAGACTCTTTTGAGAACTAAGTTCCAGAGATAGGCATCATTTTTGAATCCTTTTTGCTTTTAAAAAGTTATAAGGTTTTGCTAACACTTGCCTTTCTAATATTTCGTTCTCATTCGCCTTCGCTATGATTTTATTCTCTTTTAGCTTAGCGCACAGATGTGGGTCCTCTTTCGCTGGATCATAGTCATCTAGGCTTTTGTCACGCACCAAGCTCATAAGGTCCTTATACTCACGTCTCTGGCGGCTCTTGCGGAGCGCGTGACAACATTGCGTAAACAACGCTATTGCTGTAATTATAAAAAAATAAAATTAAGTGACGAACATTATTGTGTTAGTAACATTTTATACATTTTAAATTTATTCTTATTTCCCTTTTCTCGCAAAATTTAAAAGTCGACTAAGAACTGCTCCCCTCAGGCAGATATCCACACAGAATGAAAAACCCTCAAAAATGTACCTGTAAATGATCTCACATACTTGTAAATGATCTCACATACTTGTAAATGATCTCACATACTTGTAAATGATCTCACATACTTGTAAATGATCTCACATACTTGTAAATGATCTCACATACTTGTAAATGATCTCACATACTTGTAAATGATCTCACATACTTGTAAATGATCTCACATACTTGTAAATGATCTCACATACTTGTAAATGATCTCACATACTTGCAGCACCAACGTTTGTTTTTGTTGACGATCGAGATGAATAAGGTGTTTGCAGTTTGCAAACCCTTTCCATGCATGCATGCATCCTTTCCATTTCCACCCAACATGTGGATATAGAACCTCCGAGGACTCCGGTTTTTGGGCGCTATGTTTTGTAAGTTGTAGAATTTTAGAATATACCTTCTTTCATAATCTCCTGCTTACTCCAACCGAGTCGATCAACAATATTGGATTGAGTCACGCATCTGACTACGTCATGCAAATCAGGCAAAGGCACAACTCCTGTTTCATCTATCGTATTGTTAAGAAAGCGCTCCAGCCTCTTGACTGGACCAGGTGGATGGCCTTCGACAACCTGAAGCCTCACCACACGCTGCTTCAGTAGATTACCGTCACCGTTGCCAGTTATTTTACATAGCTTTTTATATAATTGCACAATCTTTGCTTTATACCTGTCGACATAGATTAAATTCATAAAATACATACAAACAAACATAGATGACGGGCCTGTCGGTTTATTGATAAGTGAGCCTAACTGCTAAGACAGAGGTCGTCGGTTCGTATCCCATCGAGGATAAATAATTGTGTAATGAGCTAATGAGTGTCTGATCATTTATGTGTCTGGGTTTAATTGTAAATGTATTTAGAAAGTATTTTTATATGTTTATCAGCAGTCTGGTTGCTATAGTACAGGCTCAGCTTAGTTTGGGATCAGAGGCCTTATGTGAAATGTGTGAGGTTGTTCTCAAAATATTATTATTGCATACATACGAGTACACTTAAGTACTCGTACCTATGTTTATTTTTAAGGATCCGTATCTCAAAAGGTAAAAAAGGAACCATTGTCTGTCCGTGTGTCACCACCGATTTTCTCAGGAACGGGGAGACCTAGCAAGTTAAAATTTATACCAAATATTGATGTCTATGGTTCCTATTAGGTGTATAAACATCAAGGTCCTGAGTCAACACGATAAATAGATATGGGCAAGTTTCGATTTTCGATTTGTAGCAGTAGCAAAATTTACCTTAACTTTCAACTTTTTCTATTTTTCAGAATTTTCTCTTTACTTGTGCTGTAAGACCTTGCTTTTAACCAAAATTGACAATTCTAGGTCAACTGGAAGTACCCTATAGGTTTTGGGTCGATAACCTATATGGTAGTTCACGTTGACCTAGAATCACGAAGTTTGGCAAAAAGAAACGTCTTACAGCACAAATAAAGAAATAATTCCAAAAAATAAACAAAGTTGAAAATTAAGATAAATTTTGGTACTTACAAATTTTCGCGAAAATGTACGTAAAATCTGGGTAGGTACGAAACCCTCGGCGCACGAGCTCGACTCGTACCTGACCGGTTTTTTTAAGTATAAAAATATACTTACAAAAGAAATAGGCGTAAAAAATAGTCGCATTTTGTCGACTATGCATTGAATACTACTTACGTGATAGGTAAGTATATTGCTCTTCAGCAAACACTTTAAGAGTTAGATAGGAACTTAACACTATGTATAATAAAAGAAACCGCAGAGACGTTTTGCGGCACAAATGGGACAGCTCGATCAGTCAGATACCACGGTCTAACAGAAAATCGGTGTAAAACCATTCATTCATTGCTTTTCACCGAGTGAGTGAGGGAGACCAAACCCCCAAGGAAAGAAAACACACCAAAAGCAAACAAAATTAAAATAAGGGCAAGAAAAATACAGAGATAGGTCTTTCTTCTGTTGTAAGTATATAAGTATAGTAATATACATTCATTACGATTTTTTTTTGTTCAAATGTCTGCTCTATTCAAGTAAATATATAAGTAAAGCTGTAAAAAGAGAAGAAAGAAACTGAATAAAGGATAACTAAGGCACATTTCAACAATACTTACTTGTCACATAGTAGGTAAGGTGAAGATAAGCAGTTACTCTCCACTTCTGCCTCCTCTAACTGTAGAATCTTTTCTTGATACAATAAAATTTGTTGTTCAATTGCGAAACATCTATTATAATCACGGCTATACTGATCAGGCTTGACAGCTTTCTTTGGAACTAAAAGATCGCAATGGCTAATTTTGGATCCGGTCGAATTATTTTTTGGCACTAAACCTTCACTAGGAGCTTTTGTATTTGGTGTCTTGTTAGTTTCCTCTACATCATTACTGTTTTCTTTATTTGATTGCTCACTACCAACATCACTGTTAGTAGTCTCGTCAACAATCATAATATCATCATTTTCACCATCAACCTCATTAATCTCCCTAATTTCATCATCATCATCTGAATTATCTAAATTTATAATATCAGACTCTTTACATATACTCTTTGCTGCCCTAGTATTATATCGCTTCCGTGGGCTTCGTCTCCTATTTTTTTCTGAAACAAGAAATATAACTTTACACATTCACTCATAGCCAATGAACAGAAAACTAAGTGTTTGCGGTTTACCACGCCAAACGACAGTAAAAATCACAGTGATGATTAGGTATGTCGAGTTAGACCTTGTGGATACTACAACATTTTTAGGAATAACACTAGATTCTAAGTTATAATAGGGCCCTACTAAACTTAGAATAATAAATTATCGAGTATTGATATATTATATTGATAAATTATCGAGTAGACTCAGCTCAGCAGCATACATAGTTAGAAAAATGCGAGACTTGTTTACTTTAGTTTTTTTCATAGCATAATGTCGTACGATATTCTATGGTGGGGGAATGCTGCGAACATTCAAACTATTTTTGTGCTGCAAAAAAGCTATTAAAGCAATTTATAATTAAGGCAATCGTTGTTCATTGAAGCAGAAATTCGAAGAAATAAACAATAATAAAAATAATATTTTCGGATATTGACACACAACGCCATCCAGTCTCAAACTAAGCAGAGCTTGTAATATGAAAGCTAGATTGACAGTGGCATGTCAATCATCAACAGCCTATAATAGTCCACTGCTGTACACAGACCTCTCCTTAGAAAGGAGATTTTTGGCCTACTATACCACACTGGCCAGACGGGTTGATGTAGGGTTTGTGGCAAGTTATCCTTCTCTTTGCAGTGCTGTTGTCCTGCGTAGTTTGCTCCCTTAGTCCCACGGGATGAATAAGGATGGTGACATTCCGTATTCTTATTCCGTCACCACACGGATATGGCATCTCAATATATATATGAAAATGTAGTATACATTTACAAAAATAAAGCTTCTTGAAAAGAAATGATGTACATGCTTTAAATACCAGAAATATAAATAAACTTGTTGTATCTGTCTCTAGGCTCTAAAACATAAACAAGTCACTTTGAGGTCAATGTCAATCAAACAAAACTAAAGTATAAACGAATTTAAATCCACAATAAAACATAAACTATGTCAAAAAGACTTTTATTCAATTTTGGATTACATACAAGACAAAAACGCTTGGGATTAATTTAGCACAGGCTATTTCGTAGTGGAAATGTGATGTGGGCTAGTCTTTTTTTTTTCATTTTTTATGTTTCACTTCACTTTCTTTTTTCTGTTGTCTGTCTTTACCTTTTAGTTCTGAATAACTGACATACAGGCACATATCAACACAATGTTGTGGTATAAATTAAATGATGCCACTGTATTCTATCTGTCAATTTAAAAAGCGTGGCTGTGAGTTTATTTGCTATTTCTTCTCAAAAAGAAATAAACCCCTTGGAAATGGGCAGTGGTAGATTGGCCCAGGCATATAATAGATTTTCAATAAGTATATATTTATATATATTGCTAAATATTTGTTTGTTGCTATTGTCTGTATATCTATGACATTAGAGGCATCTTAAGAGATGATTACAAGCAATTGTTTTATTTTTATAAAGTAAAAATATTTTAAGTTTGAGTTTGACCCTAAATGTTTATAATAAAAATTCTTACGCTACTTTCAAAATTTAAAAAAAATTAAGGATTATGTCTTAAGGGCTCTTGTTAACTCAAGGAACGAAACTGTATTAGAATGCACCTCTATAAAAAGTACTGAAGTTGTTGCCAATCTGCCACTACACTGAATGTTGCAGGTACAGGTATGTTTTGCAGATATTACTTACATCTTAACATTAACACATTTATATTTTTAAATTATAACTAAAATAATTAAGGGACTAACCAGAAGGCTGTGGGAAGGATCTCTTTCGATTTTCTCCTTTTAATTCTTTACTCAATGTCACAAAAGGCACTTTTTTTCTACATCTCCCAGATTTCAAGTCTTCACATAACGTTTTCAGATGCAAAAATTTATAATCAGGATCATTCCTTAATTTTTTCAAACTTGATTTCAACAATTCTGTAAATTGTTCAGACTCCTTAAATTTAGTATTGGTATCTGCATATGAAGGCAGAAGTGTTTTATTTATAACCCTAGACATCCCTGTATTATTTGCCATATTTAAACACTGATGAACAATTTTATTCATTAATGAATTATTTTTTAGTAACCTGGCAAATGAACTCTCTTTGTCACTATTTGTTACTGTTGACTCATTTGTGGGAGTTGGTTCCTCATCTAAAGTTATGGTATCCACAGTGGTAGATGCATCCTGCTTTAGTCCACTGCTTTTTGTATCATCATTGATTACCTAGAACATGCCATACTACATTTAGACAAATATACTTATAAAGGAATAAAAGTCTTAGGGCAATGATAAAAATATGAAAACTACTTTTTAAATCAAGGTTTGTATAGCCACATTTTTTCTAAATGGTTGTAACTGCATTGTGAAACATGTGAAAAACAGTGGTATATGAGACTTAAAATGATAATAAATATATCTTCGAAAAAGGTGTAAATTTAATAAATTCAGTCACCATAACGACGTCATCGTCTTCTATTACGTCAGGCGATACATTCATTTTTTATGTGATTAGAAAATAAGGTTGATTTAACTAATGAAATTCTCAATTACTCATACTTTGTACTTTGACAATCAGTTGTGAATTGTTAACGTCAACTTATGAAAATTTTAATTGACAGGTAATTGACATTTCTGTCATTCGTTCAAAACCCAATTATGTTTAGACAAACAAAATGATATTGTTCAAATTGTTAGAGAAATGATGAATCTAGTCTACACGTGTAAAACACTCATATCAAGAATATAGAATTAAAGCAGATGGACAACTATGGAATATTTAGGTAATAAAAATGTATAAACTTAGATAATATTATATTACTAGGTGAGATGTAAGGGGGCAAAATTTTTTAACGAACAACTTAAAAAGAATAGACAGTATAACAGTAAAATCCTGAAAAATGAATTAATTTTACCTAAATACACTAACAGTTCCGTAAAAGAAAATTAGCATATGTCATTGCATTTCTGATTAACGAATTACAGGTATCACTTAAGTAACAATCAACTCCAAAAAATGTTAAAAGTAAACTAAAACAATACTTCTTGCCAAATATATCGAAAAATTTATAACTATGTGTGTTATGTATATGTACGTTTATATGCATGTATACATATCGATCATGAAATGAATGTTTTTTTATGACATTAATACTTTTAAAATTGCATCGATTACCGTAATTCTTTGTAATGCATCACTCTGTATATCGCGTTTCTTATTGTACAAAACCTGTTGCGATCGGCAATGTGCGGTACCTACCGTCGGTGACCCCTATGTCCAGCAGAGAACTACTATAGGCTGTTGATGTTGTTGAATAATTTAAATCCAATAGTTCCCTACTAATCTCCATTTAGCATCCCGGGCTCCTCTGATATGAGGTGGTGTCACACCAATTTCGTTGTTGATTTTACTTCATAAGTACTAATGAAAATGCAAGATTCAAAGGTTAAAAATATATTCTATATAAATCGTTTTGCAATGTATTCTTAGAGAACTCTACTATTTAGCTGTTCTGAAGGACACACTACCTAGGGATCTCGGAGGATACACTACTTAGGTGCAGTGTAGGAATATTCGGATTAGGTGGGGACGTAATTTTTTTTTACAAGACATTTATTTCAATAAAAATCAAAATGCAGATAAATATATATTTAGAGAGGCCAATTAAAATCTATTGTTATTAAGTGAAATAAAAGGCAACATTAAAATTGGCTTGTTGCTATAAAGTTTAAACATTATAATAATAATAATGTATACTGTATCTCTTATTTTAATATAGAACCTTAAGTTAAAAATACAATTTTTATAAACTACAATAAAAAGAAAAACTAAGCAATCAAATGCAACTGTATATGAGATGGATGATACCAGGGCGAATTAAATTCCGAACATTTATTGAGACATTTTTACATCTGTGTATCACTATTAACTTTCGATATTCTCTATGAAGACAAAGTATATAAATATAAGGACTATTCTGTTCAAAGCACCATAGTGGTCGCATTGATTTATTTCTAAATTCAATACACTATTTATTAATAGATGAGAAATATATTTTTTATTAAATTATCCTTCATAAGTTCCACAATTTCGTAACATTCAAAGTTCTCTTCTTGAACGATCCTTAATTAACACAGTTTTTAACCCAATATCTCCACCTCATCTGAAAATAAATAATATATGTTTAGCGATACATTTCCAACCATGCATATTTATACACTTTTAACATTCATTATATTTCTTTAATCAATACATATTTATAAGAGATGAGACACAGTAAAGAAAGAACGTCTGGTTCTAGGAATATATTTAGAATATTATATTATAATCATTGCGTTATTTAGTGTAACTTTATTTATCGAAACTGTGCTTTCTACATAAATTTGTATAAAATAATGAGTTATGATACTATCAAATGATTTACGTTTAATAAGTGATTTAACAATTAAAATTGTGCGTATGACAATTAAAATGGAAATAAGTTGCTAGAGGGCAAGTGGGTGCAGGTATGCGTTTGCTCCAAAAGACCCATTCCTTCTAGATCAGGAGTGTACTGAAAAACGGCTATGTAAAAGACACTCGCAACTGGCGAGCTTCATTAAAGGTCTGATGTATTTGGATGACATGTTGGCATTGTAAAAAGGCACTTTATAGTTTTTGCACACAGAAAGAGGGTATGTATCCATATATATATATACAAATAAATAAAATTGAAGTGTCTGTTTGTAATGTCAAAATAATAGGTCAAAATAATAATATTTTTGCATGCTCACACGGTTATTTGCACGATACCTATGCTTAAAAACCAGTTTAAATATTTTTTGTCTGTCTGTTTCGGGTAATCTTCAAAACGGAATGACCAATTTTGATAATATTACTAACAGGCTATTTTCCGCTCCGAAAACCCCTATAAAACTTTACCCGGTTCGGGAATCTAACTAGAGGCCTCATGGACTGCAGTCGCGTACCGTACTACACCTACTAGTATGGCAGCGCTTTCCAAATTCGATGCGACTGAAGTCGCGGGTACCGGCTAGTGTTGTAATTTGAATTGTTCGGACTCACGTATGACTTCGTGGTGCGGGTCTCAGTCGTCCCGCGCCACGTGGCGCCGCTGGAGCGCGAGCGCGAGGTCGTGCTGCAGCGCGGCCGTGCGCCGCGCCACCTCGGCCGGCACCACCGAACGGAGCCCGTTTACTATGTCCTTCGTTTTACCTGCATTCAACATCACCAGTCAAAACAAATAAGTCGATTTCTAACAAAACATTACGTATTTAGTAGTACAAATTATTAGTGCATGTATTTTAGAAATGTTTAAAAAGTAAAATAAATTCAAGAACGAAAATTTCATAAGTGAGACCATGTTACGTACGGTCTTTCGGGCTCGTTAATAATATGTAATTTTAATTACCAACAAGTCATATATCTTTCATGGACCATAAAAAATATTATTTATATAACTACGAAAATTGGAGCGAAAGAGAGTACACAGAATCGATTTGCTTTGCAGCCGCGTTGTTCTCGTTTAATATATGTGTACGAATGAATACGAAATGTTCTCTTACAGCGGAGTAATGTTTACTATATAACTGAGCGATTTTCCATTGAATTCTAAAACTGTACTGCCATTTATTATAGCTATATCGTCGCAACTATTACCTCGTTTATCTTAATTCTATGAATATATGTTTTAAGTAGAAGGTACCATGAAAGTAGCTGCTCAATGTATGAGCCACATTCTCTTACACAAGCTGCAAAAGAAGGCTTATCTATACTAATATTATAAAGCTGAAGAGTTTGTTTGTTTGTTTGTTTGAACGCGCTAATCTCAGGAACTACTGGTCCGATTTGAAAAATTCTTTCAGTGTTAGATAGCCCATTTATCGAGGAAGGCTATAGGCTATATATCATCACGCTAAGACCAATAGGAGCGGAGCACCAATGAAGAATGTTTCAAAAACGGAGAAAATTTATTACTATTGAGAGACGCAGACGAAGTTGCGCGGGTCAGCTAGTGTATAATATAATTTAAAAACCGTCTTTCAATATTGCCACACACTTGTCTTTTTTGGAATGAAGATAGTATTATCCCACTCATGTGAGATCCAGTACACACATAGACAAAATACAAAGATTTAGAAGTCAGCTATGGTCACCGGATTCACCCATTGAAGGCCGTTATATAAGCGGCAGCAACAACTATTTAAGACAACACGACGTGTAACAGTCTACACTGAATGTGAAGAACTGGTGTAATCTACACAAAACCTTAATGTTACCGAAATAAATGTCGTTGAGTGTATTCCTGATCTTGTTTTCCATATCCTCGACCATGCGACCGATATTCACGATGTGCGGCGTCACGTCACTCACTGCTGAATCCTGCTCTGCCTGCAGAGTATGAAATGAATACGTTAGAAACAATAATATTAAAGAAATAGAGTTAGAAATTAGAAAATATTATCTAATCGGTAAAGTTCTAACAATGCGTAACTAATTTTTTGCGGTTTTAATATTTGGATATCATCCAATTATGATGGACGACCATTTTTTCGACCACAAATAAATTGGCTCTCTTAAAAAAAAGAGTGAGCCTAACATATTTATGATGTGTTATATCTGACCTCACAGTCATAAAGAAATGTTAACTTCCTAACACAACTTCCTAAAAAAAACAATAAGTATTTGAAATGATTTTTATAACGGACACTTATATTTTTATTGAAAACAGTTGTATTATTGAATTAGCATTAGGAGTGATACTCTGTCGGCTCATTCTAGGATCGCGCGACCTTTGGGCCTGGCCCATGGATTGGTCAAACCAAAAAGCGCGCGCTTCTCAGGTTCCTGTTACACATTTCAGTTCTTTTTCACAAAATTACCAATCAGACTACAGATTGCAGAAAAACAATAGGAAAGATAAAAATCACAAATATGTTACAAGAAGCAGTTGTATTTTCAACTATAACGATTGCCGCTAAGTTTTGTTCAAACTTCAGTGAATATTTTTGGCTTACTTACGGTTAAAACTTCGTTGACGATGCAAATTTTTATGAAATGGTCAAATTAAACTGTTCTCTTATGTATTTATAGATTGTGATGTCACTAATGTAGTGTAATTAAATGATTAGGAATTAAATGATTAGGGATTAAATATGGCAAGATATTAATCATACTTAAGTACTCTAGCAGTGCTAATTACTGGACTGTGGAATAGTCAAGTAGTTACTGTCCATTCGCGTTGTGGTGTTTCCACTACAAATATTATTTATTAATTTTCTTAAATTTAATTTGACAAGGAGTCAATTTTTTGCCAGTAATAGAATTGATGTGTATAACTGGATTAGACTAGACTGGATTAATGTTGTTTATCTTTTTTTCACTACATCTAAGGAAACTAAAGTAACATAACCTGCTTGCTACAGTAACACGTGAACGCAGAACGTTTAACACCAGACCTCATAACTCTGGGGTGCATAACACATTAAATACCCAGCTCTACACTAGTGTTACTTGAAATACAAATTACTTTACATAGACATACTAATAATAACATTTGCTGATTTATACAACAACCTTCCCAAAAAAATTTTTTTGTTATTATGATCTGCAATCAGTTGCCAAAGAATTTGATTATTAATGGTCGGGTAGACCAGTATCACTCTGTCCATACAAAGTCTGTGGTTTCTTTTCAATCTCTTGACCACATTTGTACTGCACCTACACTACATTATAAAGCATAGTGTAGGCGAAGAGATTGGGGTGATAAATGAGATGTTTGGTGTATTGTATTGTATAACACTCTATTTCTGATGCTACTCTTGCATTACCTGAATACTAACAAAATTCATTATTTCTCGCAAACCACAGAGAGTTTAAAATAGTCGTCAGTATGCTATTCTGTACTCATCATCACTAACAGCCTTTAATAGTCATAGGATATAGATCTCTTATTAGAATGGAGGTTTTGGCCTACAATACCACACTGACACTGACAACAGATGGGTTGGTATAGGGTTTGTGTTAAATTTTTCTACTCTTTGCAGTGCTGTTATCCTACATAGTTTGTCCCCTTAGGCTCTTACAATACCGACAGGCCGAATAGGGGTGGTGACACTCTGTTCTGTTTTATTGGCAATCAAAACAAATATATATGTTTAAATCTTTAGTCCTTCACTTACTTGTCTAGTAAGACTGCCACCAAGGTTCATTGTACCACTGCTCTCCTTGTTAGTCTGCAGCCATAACATGGCAGTGGAAGTCAATTTGTAGTGTGCATTACGACCTGAGCTTTTTTCTATCACTTCAACAACATGGATAGAATCCCAGCATCCTTTGATCTTTTGAGAACCATCACCAGCTTTCTTTATCAAGATTACACCTGTAAATAATAATATATGGATAATACTATATGGATAGTACTAAATGTGTGACATGAAAATATCAATTGTTTTTTAAAGAATATAAGTAGGTACATAGATATTTTGGATTTTATTTTGTGCTTTTACATTTTAAAAGTTTTGTAAACACCTAAAAATGAGAGTGATGGTATGGATGGTAATACTGTTTTATATTTTATATAATAGTCAGTAGTAGCTTTAATAATGGTTTACAATTGGCATATAAAGACAATTTAGAATTCTATTCATATGGTGTGGTAAGGTTAAATTTTTTTAATGAAATACATATATTTCCATTAGGCTTGCACTCGAATTCTATGTACCTTTTGTTACAATACAGAATTTATTATTATTATTATACATGTATGTGTTTTCCAAGTGACTTACAAATCTTATGATTCCTATGTTTCAAATATCTTAATGTATAAAACAAACACTATCTGGGTTTGTTTGATTTATTAAGTTTCAAGACTAGACTTTTTATAATCATTGGTTTGTTGGATTTGTCTCAATCCCCTAAAAAAGTACCCCATAATCTTTGCTGCAGCTTTGCAAAATTTGATGATAATTGGACAAAAAAACACCTATTTACATATTTGAGATGATTGTTTATGGTGTTAGCGAGACAATTTGAGTCCTATTTAATAATAGATATATATATATATTTATATAATACTCTAAACAATATTAGATACAAAAGTTTACATCTAAATATAAATTTAAAAACATACCGGCAAATCCATGATCCATGTCCCACAAGTAAACAGAGCTTACACCACCTTCAAAATACATCTCTCTGTATTGGTCAAATGCGTGATTTGCGTCTATTTCTAGTTTCCTCAATCTCTCTGAGGGCATAGATCCATCTTCTAGAGGTGGATCATAGGTGTTTGACCATGGAGACCTGTAGGAGTCGCCATCACGATTGTAGTCGCACAAAAGGTAGTCTTTGCCAGTACTACGATCTTGGGCAATCTTTAATGGCTGATCCACAGAGGATAGTAGGTCATCACACATACTAGGCACCAAGTCTATCAAATCTGTTAAATTTTTCTCGATCTGCTGCGGAGGCAACCTCCGCATTAGGTCCAACGCACAATCCATTTGCTGGTCAGTCTGTAATCAGTATTAAACATATCAGAGATTTAAAGAATTCAGTTAATTTCTGTGTATTAGTCATCATAACAAAATATAACTTTGTAGGAAAACAGATCATCGCAGTTTTGTACAGAATTCACTCACCATTGTTAATTTTAGTTGGAAGAAATAAAGATAAATGTGAAAAAATATCTAATATATATTTTTACTCATAAAACTGTAATTCAACAATATATAGAAATCCCAACCCGAATTGATAACTTGACGTAATTTGACAGCTTACCATACGTTGCGAAACCATAGAAATTCTAAACCACGACAGGAACACAAACTGTAATGCTCGTTTAGCTCACAGGTCGTCAAGGATTTTACTTTAACTTAATCCTGTGATTGCTCTATGATTGTACCAGAACTCATTCATAAATTTGCAACAATTTTTTTTAGCATTTTTAATGGTGATGATAAAATTATTAATCCCCAAAAAAAAAAACACCACTGCTTTACTTATGTTATTACTTTTAATTAATAAACATATTGACATTATTAGATCAAACCTTGTCTTCACCTTAATACTTCTGTCATTACTGGAAAATGCATAAATGATTTTATTGTTAAATGGGCTTGAGAACTTCAAAGAGGAAATAAATTCCGGAAACAGCTGGCACGTCACTAAAGTCTAACCAAGTTAAAACTGCCCAGCTTGAGCGATGCCGGTACATTTATCTCTTTTACTCAACAGTCGATTGTGGTAGTAGAAAAAGGAATGAAAATAAGTACCAAAAAAGTAACTGTTTCCCGTGAAATGTCAGTTCGTGAATAATGTTGTGTGTGTCAAAGTTTTGTTGTTATTACATGTAATTCCTATAATTACTTTGAATTACATAAATTATAACTTTTATCAATGGAATTGTGATTACTTTACTTCCAGTGCTGTAGTACTAGAGTTACGTGGAGCTCACATTATCTCAAAGGTTTGCATTGTGTACATAATTACACTTATTCAAATGATTCATGTTATGGGAATGTTATCACAGTTATTTTATTAAAGGGTCTATTATAGAATTCTAAATGGGAAGTGCGGTTGAATCTATTCATTGTATAGTTGCGTTTTATGCGTAATAGATGTTACAAATAAGGTAATCCTATTTACACCAGGTTATAACCAAGTTGTGGCCTATAGAAACCCCACAATAATTATTTCTGCACTTATAGTCTACATGTAACTGGGTAAAAGTTTAGTAACAATTTTTATAAATTTAGGTGAGGAATGATCTTTTAATTCTTCAGTAAGTTTCAAAACAATGGTCTTTGTAAATAAAGTAACATGGCATTGTATTCAAATATGTCATAACACTGACAATGTAACTCTTCCTGTGAACTTTTGTATGTTGGTTACAATTAAAATTATGAACGGAGGCTACTACAATGTTTGTGAAAATAAATGCAAACTATTAAGTTTTAATTATTATTCATAGGTCAGTTCACTGTGTCATTTCAGACACTTAAGTGAACTGGCTTTGCTTAAGGTTTGCTTTATAAGTATAAAACAAATATATTAGGAACTTAAGAATGCAGAAATTAAACTTTATCTAATTTATAATGACAACATTATAGTCAACAGACTATGCTATGTGTTGATACCTGAACTCGGGTAACCTGTTGCTGCAATGTTTTGGCATTCCATTTAATTATTAAGCAAATATTCTTCACCTCTAATTCTTTAATCTAGTTAATGAATACTGTATTTTATTGACACCTAAGTGAATACTTTACTAACAAACAGATAGCTATTCATACTAGCCATTGTCTAGAACTTAGTGCTTCCGAGCTGTTTTATCTGTGTTTATGATCACTGTTCTGCTTGTAAGGATTGAAACATGATGCTACATAGGCTATTCCTATACTTTTCTAGGTGAATATACAATAGAGACACTAGTCTTAAAACTGTAAACTTCAATTTAATTATATTATTATTACTGTAAATGAATTTTATGCATACATTAGTAACAGTATTACCTCTTTATATTAACTAAATCATATTAAATAATTTCCAGATTTTGAAAACTGTGGTTGACATAAGAGTGTCATGATGCCGACCCAACTAGTTAATCAGGATAACCATGCCAACGATGTGCGTGTGAAGACCGTTTACAATGGTGATGTGATGATCACATATATCAACCATAACGTAAATTTTGAAGAGTTTACCAATGAAATGGTGGCGATGTGCCGTTTTCTACCTGATCAGGTTGGTTACGTGTGATAAGATATCAGGGTGATATAACAAAATTATTACCTAATAGACTATTAACACTTTCTTTTGAATTTTTCACTGTATTAAAGTTACCAATTACCAAAAAAACAAAATTAAACTGGTAACTACATATTGTCTAGAGGGTCCTGTCACCTATCAGGAGTAACACTTAGTATTTAATCTTCCTCTCAGGTACTCAATGTTGTTAATAAAATTGCCTCTAATGCCTCTCTAGAAATAGGATAGCTATAGTTCTAAGATGCACGGCATGCATCATTTACTTTAAAGGACAATAATGATGGTTGCACTATACCGATATCTAAGTAATAGCAGGTGTTGGCTAAAAGCAGACAGATAATGTTTTTTTTTAACTAGGTTAATTTCTATTATTCTCGTCCAATTTAATAAACTTCTAGATTGCTATTTTCACTGGTGCTCTTTCCTTGTATATTTTATTTATTTCTTTAATGATATAGAGGGCAAACGATCAGGTGGGTCACCTGATGGTAAGTGACTACCGCTACTCATAGGCGACTGCAACTCAAGAGACAAACTCTTTGAGTAAACTCAAGATAGGGGTTATTAGTATAGAATATGACCGGTTTTCTGTGAAGCCTATCCCCGCTGCCATATGTGTCGAAACATGACTCTCATGTGTGTCAGAGTCATTTAAAGTGTTGTGGGTTCGATTCCTACATAAGAACAACACTTTCCACAAATAGTACGCAGTAGTCGTACTTTTGTACACGTAATGTTTCAGACGTGTAATCTTTAATGAACTTAGGGCCAATCAAAAATACGAATGCCGTGTTAATTTTTTTTCTTACATTTGACACACAACGCCTTCAAGTTTCAAAATAAGCAGAGCTTGTACTTTGAAAGCTAGATTGACTGATAGAATACTTATATATTTTTTTTTTATAAAAACCTTACATATTATACATAGAAAAAAACTCCGTAATAAATATTTGCTGTTCATACAAACATTTGGTCCGACCTGCGAACCGAACCAGACCCGCACAGCAGCATATGCTACCACTGCACCACCGATGCCTCGGCATGGTATGGTGCCGCTGTTTGCCAAAGCAATGTTTGAACTCAAAATAGACCTCTGGGAAGTAATTTGAAAATGACACGCCTACGTAATGGTATTTTTTCATTTTACATCCTATAAATACTTACAAACACTATCCTAAGGTCGATATTTCATTCAAGTAACTTTGTAAGTTTTGACATTTTGTTTATAAAATTTTAATGCATTAGAATGAAGTGATGAACACACAAATACTTTCTGGTTTATACTCTCATATTGACTAATTCAACAAACCCAGTTTTTTTCTTCCGAGCCTTTTTCCCAAACTAGACTGGGGTCGAGTAAGTTTACTACGATACGCCTGAACTTCCGTGTAGTGACGGATTAAGAATACGGAATGTCACTACCCCAATTCATCCCGTGGGTGTCGTAAGAGCCGACTAAGGGCACAAAACCACGCAGGACACCAGGCACTGCAAAAAGAAGGAAAACTTGACACAAACCCTATACCAACCCGTCTGGCCAGGGTGGTATAGTAGGCCAAAACCTCCTTTCTAAGAGCCTATGTTCAGCAGTGGACTATTAAAGGCTGTTGACGATGATGTGATGCCTGAACTTCCATCAGACCTCCACAGCCCAAGTACTAGGTGAAGTTCTGTAGAAAGGCTGTTGTCTTACTTTTTCGGGCTCCAACTACCCGTAACGATTGGCACAGATGTTTGTATGGCAACTGGGGCCGACGGACGGCTTAACGTGCTCTTCAAGGAACGGAAGGGTCTTAATGTGTTAAGAATCCATAATAGATAAGACCTGGATAGGATTGCTTACCTTTGCAGACTTAAAATTCCAAATAAAACCATGGAAATTCTAATGCAAAAATCGTTGCAAAAGTATATTATACAATTATATAATTGCATTGCTCATAATCGATCAATTATAGTATCGAGATAAGGACATCGATTGTCTCGTGAACTCACAGTATGATATCTACTCTTAATTCAAGATTATAAATAAAAATTACAAGTCAATGATTCTGGTCGTTTTGAATTATTTAGAACAAAAGAAATCGTAAACGATTCTTTTGTTCTAAATAAGAATTCCATCCATTCCTTCCACCGAAAGCCTAATACTTAAAATGCTATTGAACCGTAAACATTACTGTACGGTATATTGTGTCTTTGGAAGTTATGCATCTAAGTTATACGTGTGTGGTGACGGATTATGAATACGGAGTGTCACCCCCTACTCACCCCTACTCATCCCATGGGTGTCGTAAAAGCCAACTAAGGCACCAAACTCAGAGGACAACAGCACTGCAGAGAGAAGGAAAACGTGAAATAAACCCTAAACCAACCCGTCTGGCCAGCGTGGTATAATAGGACAAAACTTCTAAAGGACTGTTAAAGGGCTGTTGGTGATGAAGTAATGGAAAAAATATCGCATCAACTTCTACCGATCAAATGATAGTCTTTTTGGTATAGTTATTGGTTGTGGGTCATTTACACTCAAAAATGGTCCTTTATGCGTCGAGGAAAGGTTGGCTAGGTGAGCCAACCAAGCTCCTTCCAGAAGCGCAGAAGCTCCTTCACAGGCTTCTTTAAGCGATTTTGTATCAGGTATGATACTTTCCATGATTACGTGGTCGGTCGTTTCTTCTGCTTTCAGGCATTTAATAAAGGAGGAGCACCCCATTTAATATGACAAGCTGCTTCAACGCTTGATGGCATTCGATGACAATACCATAGGTCATTGTCTTGCACTCCAGTGCCTTTAGTACGGCCATACTATCTGACAGTATTCGGATGTTATAATCCTTAATACCCCTTGACATTGCGACGTAAGTTATTGCCACAAATTCGCATTGGAATATGGAAATTTATTGGCCTAACGCTAGTGACATGTTCATATTTAGGTCTTGCGAGAAAACTCTGGCTCCAGTGCCCGTCCCAGTCTTGGAACCGTCCGTGTGAATTCGGAATTCGTCAATGCCAGATTGATCTCGGTGATTTTCTTGTATGATACAAATGATAGTCGTAATAAGATACACCGATGAGATAAATACTCTTATCTCGTTAACACTTTTATCTGGGGTATATCTATACTAATATTATAAAACTGAATAGTTTGTTTGGTTAAACACGCTAATCTCAGGCACTACTCGTTCGAATTGAAAAATTCTTTAGCGTTGGATAACTAATTTATCAAAAGCTTTAATAAAAAATGTAGCAAAAACGAGAAAAAATTATTTCTTTTAAGAGACCCAGATGGAGTTGCGTGGGTCAGTTAGCCACAAATAACAAGCGCTAAGTATTTTGCGTATCCTAGCGGTGGGTAGTTTCTTGTCCCATTAAGTGTATATAACTTATATTAACTTTCTCTTTTCAAATAAAAAAGAATATGTAAATGCATCCGTACATGAAACAAACCTCATTTCTTCCACATTCGATCAGTCAATGGCCGCTTTCTATCAATCAATGCAAAGATATCATATCTTTGTTTTCAGTAACATCTGTACTTATAGCTTATCTTTGTTTTTACTGTAACTGAGAATGCCTTTTCTAAAAATTTCCTCTTATCTTAGATATTACTCTTCTTCCCATATTTTGCGTTTTTTTGTCCTTTCTACGTCAGTTTCTTTTTTCAAATTTCGCTCTCTGAGTGACTGCACGGATGGCGTAGGACTGCACGGATGGCGTAGTGGTTTAAGCAGCCACCACGCCGCTTCCTACTGCGCTCAGTGTTGTGGGTTCGATCCCCACATGGAACACTTTTTGTGATCCATAAATTGTTGTTCTGAGTCTGGGTGTTCTTTATGTCCGTTTCAAGTATGTTTGTATAGTCTCCTGCGACACAGAATACATTTCTAGTGCGAAAATGGTCTTAAAAAAAAAGATATAAGGAATCTATGTAACTGTGGGAGAGTCGTACTGTCTCCCAAGATACAGGCTTCCGGCCTAGTTTGGGAGTCAGTATCAGTAAAAATGTAATAGACAACCAAAGTCTGTGCCTAACTATAATACTAATGTAAGTAACTTATGTATCAATAAACAATTTTAATTTATTTACGCAAATGTTCATGGGCGGCGGTAGTCACTTACCATACCGTCCATACCTTACCATCAGATAACCCGTCTGCTCGTTGGCCTCCTTTACCATAAAAGATTATGAAACTATATATTTTTTTAAAGGTGTTTACTATGAAGTGGGTGGACGAGGAAGGCGATCCCTGTACGATTTCAACGCAGCTCGAGTTAGACGAGGCGCTGAGGCTGTACGAGCTGAATAGAGACTCAGAGCTCACCGTACATGGTAAGTCTTACTTATAGTTATTATAAAATATTTTTTGCTAATGTCTGAATTAATTTTAGGTATAGTAAATAAGGTGCTGAACATACATATTTCATAAAACATAGTTATTTAAATATGTATCTACTGATATACATTGCAATTTAAGACTTGCTTGTAATGGTGTGAAGGGTAATAGTGACTGTACGAGAAGATCTGACCTGTAAAGATATCCTACTGTGTAAAAACATTGGGGCTTAATACGTGTAGTACAATATGCATAAACGATATCCTAAAATATTTACATCACATGACAACGACAGCCTCTAACAGTTCATTGCAGGACATAAGCCTCTCTATTTAAAAAAGTTTTGGCCTACTATACCACGCTGGCAAGACGGGTTGGTATAGGGTTTGTTCAAGTTTTCCTTCTCTCTGCAGTGCTGTTGTGCTGTCTTACGATACCCACGGGATGAATAGCGTTGGTGACATTCATTCATAATCCGTCGCCACACGGATAGGTGTCTAAAATATTATTAAATAAATATCAATTGGTCAACGTGCACTTAGCTTACTTAAAGATATAAACTAATGGTAAAAACCAAAAGATAAAACAAAACCAAATTCCCACCCGGGACAAATAATTTTGTATTAACACGATCATTCATTCTATGTTTGGATATAGTTTATCTACAATATGCATGTATTTATAAATATATTATAGTTGTGTTGTACAGTGCAATATTTTGATTATTATGACTGCACTGCGTAGAGGTTTAAGCGGTCGCCACGCCGCTTCCTACGTAGGTATAAAGAATTATTAGCCGTGGAAGAGCACTGCTTCGGCGATTGGCCGGTCGACCTGAGTGATACAACGGCCTCTTAGAAAACCGGTATTAGGCAATTCTTACATTCCTTTTCACCAAGTAAGTGAGGTTACCGGGACCCTAAACCCCTTCCCGCTGATTCTGGAGGGAAGATTCAAAAGGCGACAACGCACTTTTAATTCTTGAGCTTCAGGGTCCATGGGCGGTGATAGTTACTTACCATTAGGTGACCCGTTTACATTATTTTTATTTCAAAATGAAGATAAGAAACAGGCGCTAATAAGGAAAAATATTTATCGATAACGAACTATTAAGGTAGTACCGCATTATTAAATTGAATAGTTATTATTATTTATTCTTATATACACAATATGAACATTTACATAAAAAATAAAAATACATAAATAAGTAATAAGAACAAAGGCGAGCTTAACCCATTATTAAGTTCTCTTCCAGCAAACCTATGATTGAAGTGAGGATAGCACAACAAGAGGAAGAGAGTCGTGTGTACAGAGAAATTTAAAATAAAAATATACAACTTAACAAATACAGAAATATAAATATAAACAAAAAACCAAATATCATAGAAAATAAATTATAATAAAACGTATGTTTCCACATAACATTACAATATTAACCATGTACAACATATATTTGCTACTTAGTAGTAGTTTTTAATGTTCAATGAATAAGAACCTTAAGAAAGTATCTTACTAATTTCTCTTTATATATATAAATTATATCCTGATTAAACTTGACAGCGGATTACCAAATTGGACGGGATATTTCACGTCAGATTTGTGTAACAGTTGAGCGTCGGAGCCAATAACACTTTTCACAGGTATGTAAATATGCTCTATATTTCGCATCGGAAAATCATTTTAATGTATATATATATTATTGTATATAAATCTAAATGCATTAAAATTTTAAGTTGGTTTGTGTACGCTTCTAAACCTCATAAAGCTGTGCACCGATTAAGCTCAAATTTTTGTTTGTCATTTCACATTAAGTCTATCACAATATGCCACATAAATATAAATATAGAGTAAATTTATTTCGTAATAAAAAAAAATAAGTATGTTTTTTCTTTGCCTTCACTGAATTTTGCCATCGAAATATCTTCTACTATTATCAGGAGACGTCTCCTGACAATAAGCTCTTTCAGGAAACTGAAAATTTTAAAGACATCCGTATTAAAATGGGTATCTGCCATAGCGAATAATAAAGATTCACATGAATACGCAAGTAATTTTATCTCTGCAATGCGCTCTGACGATATAAACGAGGCTATCTATTTTATTGCTCAACACAAAAGAAGACTTTGTGTAAATACTAACATAACAGACTATTTATTGAGTCACCACTGGCAAGATTGGCCCGGGAACTGACACTTTTATGTAGGCATGTAGACACTGTATAACTTTGACCAACTTTCTGCCTTATGTGTTTATGGGTTTTTGTTTCTTTTTTTTATAGCGGTCAGTACGTTACTTTGAAAAGTATTATTGTATAGAATATTAGAAATGCGCGACCGCAGCCTCTTTGACGTCTGCAGTCCTCTTCTTATCGTGTTGATTGCAACACTTTAAACGGTTATGGTCCAGTGTAGATAAATCCCCACCTTGACAGATTGTCCTTGGATCTGCCAACCTGGGTACGCAGCCTATTTAACGCCTTCCAGATTGCCGCCAAGGAGAACAGCAGTTTCAATCCAAGTTGCCCTATCTGCTTTTCTTACCTCAATTCGTCTTCTTTCTTTTTTCGAAACCGATTTTTTACCGAGAAGTATTGGCGTCAGCCAGATGGTCACCCATAACATAATGTAGCCTTTTACAATGTCACATAGGTTACCGGATAACCCAAACGTCCCCTCTCCTAATTCTCTTTTGGGTTATTGAAAGGTTGGCAACTTGAGGCACATGGGGAACTTTCAGTTGCAAGTGTCCATGAGCGTTGGTAGTTACTTACCAACAGGTGACCTATCTGCGCCTTTGCTCCTATTAAAAAATATACATTATGAAAGGAAATTATTATTTGACAGTTGTAGGAGTTACGTAGGTGTGTACTTTACTACTTATTGACTACACTTTGTTTATGGGCTTTAATTTAATATTAAAATGAGTATAACTTCGATGTTAAACAGCGTGTCTATTAAAAATTATGGTCCAATCGTAAACAATACTTTTATGAACAATAAAATACTGAAATGAAATCTTATTGTAAAATGACATTACCCTACATTTGAGACTTTTATATTCCCCTACCCGCAGATTTAAAAAATATACTCAGATCTATATTTTTCTTCTAAGTTTTAATTGGCTAGTTGGATAGTTGATCGTTATAATACAAATACTGGCCTATTGTACAGTGATTATTTTTTGAAATTGTATTTGAATTAATTATCTAATAACAGGTCCAATGAGACTTATAGTCATAGTTGTCCTGATGCCATTCCTAAACTGGTGTTGGCGAATAATTTACAATCTTGTATTTGAGAATTGTAGCTAGGATAGGTTTAAACGTCTTGCAGTCAGTTGTATGTATCGGTCCTGTCGAGCAGTTGTACTCCTTCTACGTCCTGGGTGCTGCTCAGCAGGATCCCCCTTTTTTTTCCGTGCGGAGCAGGATCCCCCTGTATTAACATAATGCTGCCAATGACGACAAATCACGCTGGGATTTATGTCCGCTTGTAGCATCCTATAACTCAATGACATAAAAAATGACTTAGCACTCATTTTGTTCAAAAACTGTGTATCTCAAAATGATAAAAGTGAGATACATACCAAATTTATATGTTATCGAGAACAATAAAGTTTGTATACCAATCTATTTTTCTAAGAAAAACGTCAAATATCAAAGAACATATAAAATAACATGCAGTTTCTGTAAATGATGCGTGTTGCTTAGTCTCTTTTGATATGTGTATTATATTATAGTATTCTGTTTTACCGACAATGCGATCCGTTCATTTATTTTGAAACGTGAAACGTTGAAACGTGTCGTGTCGTAGCGCATAAAGAGCCCTATTACGTTAGTTTTATGTTAAATATTTATAGTGCTAAATCAATAACAATAGTACTGTAACAGTAACCTGACGTATCTCACCCACGGCCATCTGCTACCAGACTAGGTACAGTCTGTTGTATGGTAACTAGATTATTGTAAATTTATACATAATTTAAATATTATACATAAAAATAATATGGATAATAATAATTTATCACTGCCTTAAAAAGGGTCCTGATTTCCGAAACGTATTAATTTGCATTTGTTGTCGTCAAACCTGTGATCGTCGATGCTAAAATTACAGCTTAGTTTTTTTAAATGTTTTTAGCAATGGTTACCTACTTATGAAATGTGAACTTGGGGAAATATTTTTACGTAGTCTCTTTGTTTATCTTTGTACAATTTATTAACGTGTGTTCGAGGGAAATGTGTCTCGTTTGTGGAATGTAAAGCGTGCAGAGCGGTTGTGTCTGATAACCGCCGATGACGATTCAGTGTTGTGTCCAGTTATCGGGAACATTTCGCACAATGTTTACCCGGCTGGGTTTACTTTTGCTATAAAATCCTTATCTGCTCTGCATTGCGAATCCGGACCGTTATAGCCATTTCCATATTCAGATTCGTTGGTGACAATATTTCTCGTTTTTTACCGTCCACTGCAGTGATCAGATTTGTCCAGTCACGTTCGACGAATACAAGTGTATATCTAGAATCTGTTATTGGTTTTTGTCCCTTGGTAATATCTTGTCAAATAGATTAAAAATTTACTTAACTTTATAAGTTCATTAAGCAGGTCACAGCTTATATAACTCTAAGGATTAGTGGAGGATATAACGGAAAAAAGATTAACGAATAAGAATAGAAGGAAATAACATTGATCCATTAAATTGGTACACCTGTTCGGTTAAACCGTTTACTCGACAAATTTATGCCACGTAACTATGAACTACAATTAGTATGTTATGCATTGCGAAGGTAACACCCTCTAGGAGTCCGAACCCATACGTCCCGCTAGGATTCGTGAATCATTCGTGTAACTTGGCGTAAGGTCGAGATCGTTTGCAAATAAAATGGAATCCCAAACTTGTATGCGAACAGAGGCGGAGAAACTTACTCTAATAAAGTACAAACATTGCGGGGAACGTTGGCGCCCAACGTGGGCTTCCTTTATTGTAGCTGTCGCTGCGCAATTAGGGATATTTTAATTAACTTTGTGAGCATTATGAACGACAATTCAGAATCCTATTCTGTTAATTGGATACGCGGCCCTGGGTGGGGTTGCTGTTGTTTCCTGACGGCTATTCGTTTGCCTCTCCCAACAATGTTAATTGATATTTCTGACAGCGCTAGGTGTGTCTTTACACATTTTATATTGAAATTTTAACCGTGTGTATACAAATTTCGCTGACACAATAGTCAGTCAGTCAACAGTCACACAGGTTTTACAGCAACAAGTTGGAAGTACAATCTTCGATTATTTACGGTACAACCATCTTTTTGATCCATACAAATTTTCAAAAATAATTATAAACGTTTTTAAGATCTGCTTCCTTATAGCTAAAGGGGATGCGAAAAAAATTGTAAACAACCCGGTAAAGTAGATAAATACTGCATTTTTTGTTTTAAAAATATTGGAAAGCAAGAAATAAGAAGCTACTAAATTTAACCTTTTTTTACAACAGAAGAGTTTTTGACGTCTATTTTACCAAGTACTTCTAATATCATTTAATTTTTTATTGCTTATATTCTACGATATGGAATTCTTAATGTGCGAAGTTCGACACGCGCTTGACCGGTTTTTTTTTAAGGAGGTAAAATAGATAGATAGAGAACAGTAAAACATACTAAATGTATCTTGAAACGTTTTTGAAAGGATTTTTGTTTTTAATTTATGTATGAGTTGCCAACATTTGTTTACATGCTACTAAAATTTCGGAAACAAATAATATAAAGTAAAGTGTAACAAATACTTATAGGCAAATACAACATGCACTGTTTTGATACTTTTTCTATACAAAATTTTAGTTTAATAATCATTTTTATAAAAAGAATTTTGTAGAACATATTAAGCTCGGATAAAAAATAAATATTAATTACTATAGGACTAACTATGCCTTGTGGTTTCACCAATACCTGGGTTATTAATCACGCCTCGCCAGTTCATTTTAATGGATCGTGGCATGGTGTTATAAAGCCAATACCATTCGCTATTAAACTGGGGCTAGATATTCGCCCGCTTGCTATTCATGTTAAAACAAAGTGAATGTTATTGAAATAAAAAACTTGTATGTATGTAACTATGTACCAACTGGCAAACGGCCCCAAGTTCGCACGGGTAGCTAAATACAGCTGTCTGTTAGATTAAAATGTAAAATCAGTAATAAAAACTTAACTACCGATCCAATTTTCTTTTGAAATCACACCAACTGGGAACTATGTAATAAAACCCGGGCACTTTAGATTTTAGTCCCGCTTATGTAATAGGAAGCAAGCCTATTGACGCGAACTGGACACTTTAGCTCCGTGTGGTGACGGATTAAGAATACAGAGTGTCATCAACCCTATTCATCCCGCGTGGGTGTCGTAAGAACCATGCGATGAATAGAGGTGGTGACATTCCGTATTCTAATCCGTCACCACACTACAAACAATTTTAATTTTATGGGTAACTTGCAGATACTTTAAATAAACGATTTTTTTAAAGGGTTAGAAATGAGGAATTGTGTGGTTTTAAACACATTTCTCTGTATTTTTATTGCACGGCAATGCGTTCAAAGATCTATATAAAATTTTGTATTAAAGAAACACTTAGAATTTAAAGTAATAGTAATTGTGTGTTTTTCAAAAACACAACAAACTGCTGATTGAAATTCAGTCTCTCGCGTAAATACTAAAATTAAAATAAATGAATAAAACTCAACTTTGTCAATAATTAATATAATTATTATAAATAAAGTAGATACGAGTACATACACTCACGTCTTTATCCCCGAAGGGGTACATAGAGGCATATTAAACGTTCATAGTTTGTCGACTATAACTTTAGTACCACTTACCACTTTTATGTTTCTAAATATATAAATATACACAGAACGCTAGATCGTGCTCATCACACAATATTTGTCCTGGGTGCTAATAGAACCCATGACCTCTACCTTAGCAGTCAGTATCACTAACCACTAGACAAAGAGACCAGTGAAAGACAATCAAATTTAAGTATATATAAATCGTAAGTTATCTTGCAGTAGTAAAGTTCGTGTTCGTATGAGAGTAGTATGAGATAACGGTACGAGGTTCTCTTTAGGAACAGGTGAGCTGAGACCGCAGGGTCATTGTGAAATGACGTCGAACTTCCACCCTAATTAGTGCGCGCCAGTGTAATTTCGTGCCAACCAACTTTCGTGGAGCTCTCAATTAAGTTCGTAGTTTCGTTGTATGATAGTGGAATCCTTTAACAGCGATGTTCATTTAAACTCGGTTTTAGTTTGCTGTTAATTAATACTACTGTTAGAGCATTAGACGTCCTATCGTGGGAATTATAATGTACAACTTTAGTAAAAGGCTGGTGTACACTTACTCCTTTCTATGATTAATAAATAAAACAAAAAAATGATATGTGTATGTACGTTGTCACCTTAGTACAGATTATGCACATATTTAGCTTATTTAATTTTATTGTGATTGTACTTGGAAAGTTTTATTAAAGAAAATGTTTGAAGATTTAGTGAAATTGAATTAAGATACCATCTTGAATTTAAATGAATGAGTGAGTGGGTAAGATAGAAGACAGTTAGACGATCTTTAAAGAATTGTCAATTTGATCAGTTGTTTAGTTTCTTTTTTTTTTTTAACTGTTACCATTGAACAAAAAAAATTATTTGAGATTATTTTGTGAAGTAAAATTGTGAAGATAAAATATTGTCTGATTTTATTTTTTAATACACCCGTGTGAATCCGAGAGAGCATCTAGTGAAAGATAAATGGAAATAAAAAGTTTTTCGTTGGTAAGCGCATCCCTTGAGAACGGATAGACCGATTTGTCTGATTCTTTTTTGTGTTGATAATTGTTTGAACAAGGTTTCTAGGGAAACTAAAATTGAAAAATTCTCTCAGACAAGTGAGGAAATTCTATGAAAGCTTTTCCATAAAGTAGTAAAAACAAAATTAATTCAAGATAGGACAAAGTCTGTCATGTCGGATAATATCAGAAAAAAAAACGTACGCGAATGATATTAATATTTATTGGAGATTACACATTTTTAAATGGGCGTTAATATTATGTTTATTTGCGAATATATTTACAGAATACAAATAGTTAATACATTTATTAAAATAATTGTACAGCCACAATAAAAATTATACTTTTAAAATACATATGTATTAAAAAACTTTTTTTACCAAATGTAATTTCAAAGTTTATTTAAGTGTTTTGGGATACATCGTTTTATAAAAATAAACTAATACAAATAGTGACATAGGTGTAGATTTTTTTAAATTCAATTTTTATTTCATAGCCGACGGTATTGCGTGAAACCTTGTGCTTCATATAAGATATTTTATTTAATATATTTGAATTACTTAAAGTCATAAAGACGAAGATAACATTTTTAATTCGAATTCGAATGAAATTGATTTGAAAAATATTGTATGCATATGTATTTTACACACAGTTTTTATATTTTTTCCTAATGTTTAGAACAGAGACTGCGGAATAAGTGGGCATAATTATGTCAATCGCTGACTGCATTTGTTTGACGCAGTTCATTTATCCTTTTAGCCCCTATTTCGTTTATCAAGCACATTGTGTCTTTATCTCTGATTAAATTGAACTGAGAGACGGGAAGTTTAGAAAGAAAGCTTAATTGGTTAAACGGCAGTTCCATTTATATGAAGATATTAAATATGACAGCTGTTATTAATTCATTAGGTTTGATATGATACATACATATATTTACGCATTATTCTCGTGTAGGTTGGGCAGAGATAAAACAACGCCATTTGATTCTGTCTTGATATATACATAACTTACGTGTCTTACACTTTCTTCTGACCCTTTTTTTAGTATGAGTGTGCACTGGGCATGTAAATGCGATGGCCAGTGCACATATTTCGGGGTCTACTTTAACCAGCTTGACCACTCACAGAAGCCTTAAAACTACTTTAGTTATTCACTCTTCGCTCATCCTTTTAACAAACACCTTCACAACATCCCTTCCCCAATTCTTGTCTCTACGTCTCCTTTCAACTCACACTTTTTTCTTACTTCATAACTCCCCATTCTATCAGTCAATACTAGTCATTATATTTCTCATTCAACTCATTTCCAGAGCATTCATTTTGCTTTTATGTTTCTTCTGCCAGACCCAACTCTCGCTGCCATACGTCAAAGTTTGTGCCAATACTTTCTGTTTCAATGTCTCTTCTGTCAATGTGTTGGTCAGACTTTTTGGCATTTGTCAACATACTTCTAGAAAAAAAAAAAAAAAATTCTAGATTTTATTATATTATATTAATTATTATTTTTCTATTTAGTAAAGTCTATTTCCTCATCTCTTTCATGATTTTACTTTACAAGTAATTATGTGGACAATTTTACACACGTCTTTTTAGTTGAAAAGCCACCTTGAAAAGTTCCTCGCAACTCGAACAAAATATGTTTTGGTGTCAGTATTTAATGTTTTTAACGTCATTTAATGGCTACATACCAAGGTCGCCAGATAAGAAAAATGCGTAACGAAAATTTAAATAAAGTGGTTATACTTTTATAAAATTTTAATTTTGTTTCTATATTAATTACTAAATTTACATATTTGAAATTAACAGTTACAGTAAATGTTTAAAATGGTAGTCAGGCAATCTTAAGTTCTTTCTAGATTTTTATAGATAATATGAAAATGTATAGTTTGCCACACGTATTAGTACAGTACAGTACAGTATTGACAAATGGTTAGAATACACTAATTCTTTATGGTATTGCATTGTGTCCACGGCTCTTTGAGGAACGTTTTTTATTCTCAACGAATGTGTTGAAAGGCCTCTAATAAAATTTCTTAATAGCGCTGATAACATGATCCGCTAGGTCGCCACTGCGTGACGGGACTCCTTTACTTCAGCATATAGAAGTGTATGGTTAGTTTTATTTTTGTATTCTTAATTAAACCAAATATGAACTCATAAAAATGTCAAGTTATTAATGTATACCGGACAATGTCCGCAACTGCGCGTTTTAGTCCTGTGACGTCACGCCTCCGCTTGCCAATTAATACTCCATAATATCATAATCATAAACCAACGTTCCAGTCTTAAGGCGATATGTTTCAATATCATATTCAATCGCTCGCAAAAGCTAAGCATTGCGCAACATATTATGTAAAACCAAATTATGCAAATGTTAGATCGGTTGATCTCATTGTAGCTATTCGCGGCGGGTGTTTGCCGGTGGCGACGTTGTTGTTACGAACAGCGAGTGGTGCGGAGGTCGCAGCGGCTAATTGACTCCGACCATCGAGCAGCCGCTCGCGGGAAACAGTGGCATTGTGAAAACCAGTGCGCGTACGCGTGTTTTTCGCGCTACGCGCCATCTGTGCGCGATCTCTGAGACGGATAATATCGCATGCGCGCGCGCCGTACCGGTGACAATTTCGCATTTCGAAATCTCCGCGCGATTGCAGCGAACGTTGTTCCGTTGCGCCGCTGCTTGTTTATTATTTACGCGACTTAGTGGTAGTGGTTACGTGAAACTTGCGGCTAGAATGGAAGCGATGACCTCGCTGCCGAAACCATCGGCCCGTTGTGTTGTTGACAGTTCAACTGATGAAATGGTTTTGTGTTTGTTTTTCATTCGTTTACGGTTAGATGCATTTTTTGTGCGTGATTCGGAGGGGCGTTAGCCTCAGTTTTTCAACGAGTTACCTTGTTCTTTGTTTATACGTTTGTGGCAGCCGGCGCGGGAGATAACGTCGCATGCGGCTGACCCACATCAAGCTTAAGTTTGCACAAGGTGTGTGCGGATATTTCGAAATTTCACCCGTAAATGGAGTGCCGGCCGGGTGTCGTTAATCGCGCCGATAACACCTATTGTGCACGTGTTTGTTATGTGCCCGTGAAGTTTGTGATATGTTTCCGATTACAATCGTCCGTTTGCAAATTGAATCGATATCGAATTCCTTGATCGGCTGTCTCGATGCGTGTTATTGTTTTACGGCGCGAGCAAGTAACAAAGGTTTTTTTATTTACATTATCTGTCTTAGCGCTGTCTAGAAAACACAAAGAACTGTTATTTAATGTGTAAAAGCCAAATTAATTATCCGAAGCACATTTGCATAAGAATGGTATAATTTGACCTTCTGTAAGTACTCTAAACTACTAAAAATATTGTGACGCCATACTGCGGTGTTTTTTGTAAAACAAAACGTATGTTTTCGTATTTGTTGCCAATACAAAGAATTATATACGTACAACAGATTTGAATGTTCTAAAACTTGGTGGTTTCTTTGTATTATTAAAATAAAATAACAAAAACGCAATGTTACTTAGTTGCCATACATAAAATCTCTAAGGTTTTTTTATTGAATCAAATTGAACAAATCTTATGCATAATAAGATCAATAATATATCAACATTGGATATTAGTATAAGAGCTTTCTGATATAAAAACTCATGCAAACTCTCCTCAATGGATGTGCTACTTTAATCGATTTATGACTTTATATCCAAGACTTTAGAGTTTAAGGTCTTTGTGTACACTGCGATTTAACATATTGATAGGCCAATAGCCTCCCTTCTGAAGCCTTGATCTCTACTCGGAATATTTCGGTGTGAGTCACAAACTATGTTGTATTTACATACCTATGATACAAATACAATCAGTTAAGGTGTTTTGTTTGTTGTATAATAAACTCTATTCAGTCTGCTATAAGAGTGACAATGCTTTTTTTTTTAAATCGAGCAATACACATATGAAATGTTGCTTAACAAGTTCATAATGTGCAACAATGTAATCAAATCATTATTTAATGAACAGTAGTGAGATAAGGATTACCTTTCCTGTTTTAAACAGGTCCCTGTTATTATTTCTGAACTTTGTTAGTATGGATTTGTGCCGGATTAAATTATTATTGATTAGACGGGCCTGTTGGTTTAGTGGTTAGTGATTCTGACTGCTAAGCCAGAAGTCGTGGGTTCGATTCTTACTCAGGGCAAATAATTGTGGGATAAGCATTATCATTTGTTCTGTGTCTGGGTGTAACTTGTAAACTTGTTGTTTGACCTTATATCAACAAGTCCTCTTTGACCTTAAGAAAAGGTACATTGAGTATTTTTTTAAACCGTGATAAAATTATGGTGGAATGAACTCCTTTCTAAGCCGCCACAGTATGAAGTTCAAGGAAGAACCCGTTTTAATGAGTCTTATCTTAAAAATGACCATCGGTCCCACTACTTACCGGCGGTGACTAATTGTGGGAAAAACTCCTTTCGATAACAATACAAAGATTCTATCTAAACATTCAGGTAACGCTGTCGAAGTAATCTTTAACTAAACTAAAAGCGAAACCCGAAGTATAACATTATTAACTTTAATTTAAAAAATATTATGCTAAAAGATTCAAACGTTAGCGAGCGAGCCGTCGGTAATTCGATATTTTATAATCTAAAGTCTTACACTTAAAAAGAATTACCGACACAAAATATTTGCAACAGTCTTAAAAAAGGCTGGTGCTCCTCAAATACTAACAAAACCAAAGCAAATGCCTCTTAAGAATATCACTTTTTACCCGAACAACCAATCTGTGGAACGGGTTATCGTCTGCTGTATATCCGAACCGATACGAACTTCAAACCTTCAAGAAAAGAGCGTACTCCTTCCTAAAAGGCTAGCAACGCGTTTGTGACTCCTGAGTTTTAGACGTTCATGAGCGGCGACACTTTCCATCAGGTGACCTGTCTTCTCGTCTGCCCCCTCTAAAATAAACATAAAAATCGGAGTATCTACTCCTGTGTCCCCAAAGTAAAGTATATACGGATATAAGCGACGAATTGAGAACACTCCCATTTTGCCCCGGATGTTAGCTAAACTGTTAAACATCTCATCAATCATTTAATGCCAGTCCATATACCTAAGCATATGTGAAGCCATCGGTTTTGTTCTATTTGGTACTACTGTACGTGCCTTTGATCTATCAGGTTTCAGAATATTGTAACAATAATGTAACAATTTGTTAAGTAAATGTTCTATTTCACATGTTTCGTGACAGCTAACGTAAATTGATATTGATATCGCAGTAACATATATCCGTTTTATGCCGGTATGTTGTATCGTTTCGCAATGTATGTACTCGGACTTTCACTCAAGGCCGAATATAACCAATAACGCGTGAAGACGTCCACTGTGTAAGTAGTTTGCAGTAAATCAATGCGACGGGATCCCGTTTTGGTAATAAAAAAGAAAGTAGTTTGAATGTACTCACTAAAGTTTGATATGTAGAATAATTATGATAGTGAACACTTCCAATCTTGTTATTGAGCACTTTTGTATAAAATAGACTTATTTGCCTTACTTTTATAAGACATTTAATGGTTTTCTCTCTATCCGTTATTGTTTTTCTGTCTTTGTTATGTGCGAGAGTATACGAGTACGCAAATGTTTTAAAAAGTACCATTAGTAAGTAGTTGTTTTTTTTTTAAATTGAAAGTTCGTTCTAGTTTTTTTAGGGTTGCGTACCTCAAAAGGTAAAAAAGGAACCCTTATAAGATCACTTTCTTGTCCGTCTGTCCGTATGTCACCATCGATTTTCTCAGGAACGGGTAGACCTAGCAGGTTGAAAATTATACCAGATACTGAGGTTTATGGTCCCTATTAGGTGTGTAAAAATCAAGGTCCTGAGTTAACACGATAAAAAGATATGGGCAAATTTCGATTTTCCTGAAAACTTGTAAGTTCCAAAATTTACCTTAATTTTGAACTTTTTATTTTTCAGAATTTTCTCTTTACTTGTTCTGTAAGACCTTGCTTTTAAACAAAATTGACAATTCTAGGTCAACCGGAGGTACCCTATAGGTTTTGTGTCGAAAACCTATATGGTAGTGCAAGTTGACTTAGAATCACGAAATTTAGCAAAAAGAAACGTCTAACAGCACAAATAAAGGAATAATGCCAAAAAATAAAAAACAGTTGAAAATGAAGATAAATTTTGTTACTTACAAATTTTCGAAAATCTACGTAAAATCTGGGTAGGTACGGAACCTTCGGCGCACGAGTTCGACTCGTACCTGACCGGTTTTTATTTAAATTTCAAATGTAGCTGGTTAAAAAACCCTGGCTAGCTAAATAAAAAAAAATGCTCTCGGTTATCCTGCTTATAAAATATACAAAATGTAGGTTTAGAAGATTAGGTACCTACGTTTTCAAAAAGTATTTTCATACAGAAATGAAATAAACTTACTCGTATCGTCGCATTTTAGTGTGAACTTCTGCAAGTATTAAAATTTAATAATATAAAATCAATGACTTCAATGGACATACAAATAATTATCGATTATTTCATTCGTTTTAGAACCAGTTTCCGACTTATAAGGAAACAGATAAAACTTAAAAAATAATTATATGCTTTTTAAATCCTTTGAATTATGTAAGACTTTCAATAATTAAACATTTAATGATTCATCCGAAAAGAATACACGTATTTCAATTTAATCTTTCACTTCTCTGGGAGTGTGTTAGTAAATATTACAATGTGCTTGGTATTTCTCAAATAAACAAAGTAGGTTGTTATCAGATAAAGGCTAAAACAACATCATTCGATATTTTGCTCTAAATATGTCACTCGGGTATTTATGCACTTATCACTAACCGTAATACGAAACGTTTTAATGCATTTTACGATGTAGGAAAATTTCTTATAGGTACTCTATATACTGAACCATATTTATTAATAATTATTATAGACGTTTGTGTTTGATTTAGTCTGAAAATGAAAATCTTTTTTTTGTCTGTGTCTGGTAGTTCAAAGAAAGAATGTTGAGAGTTCAAATATTTGAAAGAAAACATTCGCACACCCATCCATCAAATGAATCCTATAAAAAACCCATAAGCTCACGCAGATGCCCAAGTGTTTGTTTGATAATCCATTTCTTTAGTAAATGAATATTAACTATTTAAAATTTTATAGCTTATTAGGTGCCAGTTCCGATGGCTAGACGGGCTGGTTGAGGTTTGTTTCAAGTTTTCCTTCTCTTTGCAGTGCTGTTGTCCTGTACAGTTTGCTCCCTTAGTCGGCCCTTACGACACCCATGGGATGAATGGGGATGGTGACACTTCGTATTCTTAATCGGAAAGTCAATCAACACACGGAAAGTCAATAACGTACGTCAATATTCATTTGAAAACAAAACACACTTAAACTACTGAATACACGTTAATGGTACCTTTTCTGGCTCACTTACGATGCGTGTAATAACATGTCACTTTCTCACCAATGTAAATGTATCGATGAATGAGCGAGACAAAAACACTTAGGCGTGCCAGATTCTAGACTTGCATCTGATCGAGAGAAAGTGTGGAGGCGTTTATTGTGGACCAACATGTAGTTATGTAGGTGTCCTACGTTGAATGTGGTAACTTATAAATTACCGGTTTTGTGTAAAATTA